CGCCGCTCACTACTACGCTGAGTGTTGTGGGTCCGATCCCCACATGGGACGACACTTTGTGTGATCCACAAACTGTTGTTCTGAGTCTGGGTGTTCTTTGAGTCCGTTTCATGTATGTTTGTAAAATCCCCGTGACAGAGGACATATCTTAATGCGGGAGTTGTCTTAAAAAAAAACCATCAATGTCTCTTTTACATTTTTAACACGCTTTTATTAGCTTCACCTGTATGTTTGTTTGTTTGTTTGTTTGTTTGTATGTAACCGACTCCTTTGAGCTCGATTTTGCCCTACTTTGAACGATCAGATTTGATTCAAACTTTGCACACCTGTCAAAGGTCGATGACAATGCAATAATCCGATCAAAATATCCGATTATCCTAATTAGATTCGCCAGGATTAATTAATTTCTTTCCGCATCCTTTGCATGCGAGTAAGAGAGACAGAGCTAGTGCGCGAACTACGCATGCGTGCAGTTCCAGACTTGCTCTTTCGGTCACTCAGTTCAGCACAACCTTATAAAAACAAATATGGTAGTTGCGTCTTGTTCCTTATACTTACATATATGTCCCGACAAATCTAATACGCATTCTATTATCATTTTATAATATCCATAATATATTTATAACCGTGATTTACAGAAAAAACTTCGTATTCACAACAAAACAAAATATTAAGGACAGAAATATCTATTTATTTTGCGGCATATAATTCAGTTACCAGCATGAGCTTGGATCTGCAGTCGATAAGGTCACCAACTGTTAAGAAGATCAAAAATATTATGGAGAAAAAACAACAACAAACCAAAACACAAAAAATTTAACTAAAAAATGAAAAATAAATAATAGTTTAAAAAAACTAAAATAAAAAACACGCTTTTATAGAAAATCCAACTAAAAAACAGAAAATAAAGTTTAATAAATTTGGATTAAGAATAGTGTAAATTTGATTAAGTTTGATTAAGTACAGTGTAAAAAAAAAATGAATGTACATTATTGTAAAAAGCGTGGGGTGCATAGTGTCAATAGTTATAAACATTTATTGTCAGATGAGTAGAAAAATCATCACTTTGATAATATCATAAAAAGCACTTCAGATGCACCCCACGCTTTTTTACTGTAATGTACATTCATTTTTTTTTACACTGTACTTAATCAAACTTAATCAAATTTACACTATTATTAATCCAAATTTATTAAACTTTATTTTCTGTTTTTTAGTTGGATTTTCTATAAAAGCGTGTTTTTAATTTTAGTTTTTTTAAACTATTATTTATTTAATATCATTTGGTATATATTCTGTTTTCATTATTGTACAAATGAGCGTTATAGTTGTTTCGTTTCTGGCCATTAAGGCCATACAATGGCCTCGATCCAGGGCACGCAAGGCCTGACCCGCGTGTAGACTCCAGAGCCTCCCCTTACACCGCACTTTCGCCCATAGGATGTAACTCCCAGAATCGTGTAGACACAACGTTCGTGATTTAATGATAAATGCATTATTACCTTTAAGTGGTTTAAGCAGTCGCCACGCCGGTCCCTACTACGCTGAGTGTTGTGGGTTCGATCCCCACATGGGACGACACTGTGTGATCCACGGATTGTTGTTCTGAGTCTGGATGTTATTTGTGTCCGTTTCATGTATATTTGTAAAGTCCCCCGAGACAGGATATATTCCTAATGCGGGAGTTGTCTTTTTTAAAGAAACAAAAAAAGAAACAAGAAACATAATTTTTTATTCTTAAACCATGCTCTTATTTTAGGGAAGCAAAAAATAATAATAAATCATAAAATATTAATTCGATCGACAGTTCAATCAATCTCACCTTACAATGTGATGGTGAGATTGATCGAACTGTACAGCATCGAATCAATACGGGATGGATGAAGTGGCGGCAGGTAACGGGAACAACTTGTGACCCCAGTTTCCCCTTAAAACTGAAGGGACAAATTTATAAAACTATTATCAGACCTGCCGTACTGTATGGTTCTGAAAGTTGGCCCATTAAGAGAACGGATGAGAGACGCCTGAACGTAGCCGAAATGCGAATGCTGAGATGGATGTGTGGTGTGACTCAGATGGACAAGGTTAGGAATGAGTATATACGAGGGAGTCTGAAAGTAGCGCCACTGGATGAAAAGTTAAGAAGTAATAGGTTATCTTGGTATGGACATGTCATGCGGAGGGATGAGGAAAATGTGGCGAAGAAAGTTTTAGGTATGAGAGTTGAAGGGTATAAGAGAAGAGGCAGACCGAAGAAAAGGTGGATGGACTGCGTGAGGGAGGATATGGCTAGCAAGGGAGTAAACAGTGAGATGACGCATGACAGAGTAGAATGGAAAAATCATACATACTGCGCCGACCCCAAATAAAATTGGCAAAAGGGTAGGCAGATGATGAAATCATAAAATATTAAATGAATGTTTAAATAATACAATCTAGTAGAACAATACAATACCTATAATAGATATAGTACAGTGTAGTGCAGTACAGTATAGTATGGTATATTCCGTTACTCTCAAAGAGAATACTTAGACCAGAACATAAATTGATATGACATTTCGCAGTCCCCGACGAACACTATGGTAATCGCTATTACGATAGAATCGGGTTTATTAGATATTCGTTATCTACACACCCTATTACAATCATTGAGTTTTTTTTTATGATCGGGCGATGAATACTTTTGGATTTATCCATTCAATAATGATCTTTATGTTTTTGTTCAACGTATAACATAAGTGAAAAATTTACACGATCAATAACGCAAAAACCTATTACCAAATCTCAAAAGTCAACATTTTAGAGTAAGCGGCTATTACCATGTTGTTCGAGGGAAAAATGACAGAATCAGAATCAGAATTTATACATAGGTACCGAAATGGTTATAACACCTAAAAATGATCATCGAATAAGCATGTAATTTATGCTTACCGTAATATTAAAGTCAGTTATATCATCGAATACGATTGCAATGTCATTTTACGAATATAAAGTATATTCATATTTACCATGGAACAATATCATAATGAACGATTACTACAGCAACACCGATTTGTGATTACAGTCGAACACTATCGTAAAGTTAGTTTGCGTTAATTTTTTCCATAGCTTATTTCAGTAATGGACATTTTCACAATTTTCTTACTGATAAAGAAAATTTATGATAAAAATGTAGTAAAAATCTAGTGCAAAAAAATATTCCCTTATTTTTGATAAAAGAATCTTCTTTTTAGTCTTGATAGTATTCAAGATATTCAGTTTTTATTTGCTCCTGTAAAATTGTCATTTTCCTATTACGATTTTGTTCGTCGGGGACTGCGATTTAAATTTTATTATTTTAAAACCAGGCCTACATTTTAAGTTGAAATTGTATTATTTATTTTTCTTTGATTTTTTTCTGTGTGCTTAATGGTTGAGCATCATTTAAAAACAAAAAAGGGGCGTGAGGGGTCTACTGACCCCCGGTCGGAACGAAATTCCTTAAGCTTTTTGGTAGACGATTCGCCTCGCCCTCATCCACTAAGACATGTAACGCGCGATAAGGAACTTCGCTCCGAAAATTGAATAGATCATAAGATCTAAATTGTACACCCATATTCGCAAATCGGTAATGAATCAATTAATGTAGATGCTACGGAAGTTGAACAAAAACTTTGCCGTATTTAAATGTACGAGTATCTTTAGGAGAAATGGTTACTCACCTCACATGTACTACACTGTGTACAAAGTATCGGGACTATGTCAATAAAAAGACCCGCGTAAAAGAGGTCGTTCTAATTTTTTTACTGCATGTTGGTAGCACTGTACTGATTAAGCGCGCAACATTTGAGCGGGATCTGTCATTTAATTTGTTTTAAACTACACTTTTTGTTGGTGATAGTTTTGAGTCCTCGGCGATTTTTACAATGGAAAATATTGTTGAACAAAGAGTGTGCCTTAAATTTTGTGTTTCGAATGATATTTCCTGTGGTGAATCACTAAAAATGTTGGGAAATACCTACGGCGAATCGTGTATATCGAAAACAAGGGCTTATGAATGGTATAAGACTTTTAAAGAAGGCCGAGAAGTAGTAGTAGACTTGCCTCGTTCTGGTAGACCTTCAACCGCTACGACCAAAGAAAACATCGACAGAATTAAGAAGCTAGTGCTCGAAAATCGACGTATGAGTCTGAGAGAGTTGGCTAGTGAGGTGAACATATCTTTTAAGTCCGTCCACAACATTCTCATTGACAATTTAGGCATGAAACGCGTCGCCGCTCGACTAGTTCCAAAAGAGCTTAATTTTGTTCAAAAAGCGCAGCGAAAGCATGTCGCTGAAGACATGGTTTATGAGTACGACATGCAAACAAGCCAACAGTCTTCAGAATGGCGTCTCGAAAACGAGCCGAAACCATAAAACCGCGGCAAAGTCGCTCCAAAATCAAGGTGATGCTGACAGTTTTTTTGACTACCGTGGTGTGGTTCACTCCGAATTCCTTCCAGAGGGAGAAACAGTGAATAAAGAATATTATTTAGGCGTCATGAAGCGTTTGCGTGAGAGTATCCGCCGAAAACGTCCAGATTTGTGGCAACACAACTCATGGATGCTGCACCATGATAATGCACCATCACACACAGCCATTATAGTAAAAGAGTTTTTAGCGAAAAATTCAACAAAAGTTCTCGACCAAGCACCGTATTCACCTGATATGGCTCCGTCTGACTTTTTTTTATTTCCCAAGTTAAAATTACCACTTCGAGGAAAACGTTTTGAGTCGATAGAAGCCATAAAAGAAAATTCGAAATAGCCTATGAAAAATGTATAGAAGACTGGGTGAAGCGGTGGAGATGTTGTATTGCAAGCGATGGGGCCTACTTTGAAGGCGATAAAATAAATTTAGATGAATAATTTGTATTTTTTGTTTTATTGACAAATTCCCGATACTTAGTACACAGAATGTATCTTTAGGTTGCTGATAGTCACCGTAGCAAATCTGCGTTAAGAGATTTATTCCGTTCACTAGGGTTCTGTGCAGAGGGTACGCCTCTGAACATTCTTCGCCACTAAATCTCGTAAGATCTACCTGGAAATTAGTTTTTTTTGTCATGGTCATGGCCAGCAAATGAGCAGACGGCTCACCTAATGCTAAGTGACCACCGGACATCGACACCGGCATTTGTTGCGACACATTTGCGTCGTCGCCTTTTGCAACTGGCATTATGGGGGGTAGGCAATTAAAAGTCAGTGAAATATTTTCAAGAACTATTATTAATTATATATGTAATGTACAGGTACTAACGTAATCTATCGCTGCAGTATATATACAAGTATATATTTACCATTAATAGTGAACGGCGAAAGGAATCCATACACGTCAAATAATGACATAATCACCTTCAGTAATTCGCGTTTTGTAGGACATTTTGTACCATTCATTATATCTTCAGGGTTCCGTTTAAACGAGGTGACGAACCCCAAAGTGTCGTCATCAGGATACCATATGATTCCCAAAGCACGCTCACCTTCGTGTTGTCACGGTACAATTATTATAATAGTACCGTGGTGTTGTGCTCCGGTCTTCACGGTAGCTGTCGAACTGGCGAGCGACTCCTCTGGTAAACTATTTAATACTTTCGAGCTATTACTCAACCAATTGCGTATCTCGAACCCTCCCTGTTTGTGTATATTTATAATATCCCGAGCGAGTTGGATCGTCATTAGAGTTCTGACGCGGAGTTCCGGATATACCCATATGTTCGATAGAAAATGACTTTCTTACCATTTCGTGCAGGTCTTCTAACGGAGGCTCTGCCAACCCTGATAGAACCTTGGTAACATACAGCGTGGAGCTACACGCGTGCTTTGAGACCGATGAAGGTGCTCGACCATGAACACACCATCCCAGCGGAGTACGAGTGGCACAAGGTTCGTTACATTTGCCGACTTTAATTTCTAAAGGTAACAGTAAATTATAATTATCCTGACCAATCAATATTTCAGGTGCAAAAGTACAATAGTAAGATTCGTTTTTAATACTAGACAGATGAGAATACAGGTTAAAATTAACTAAATTATAATTTTGTATAGGTACACTAAAGTTCTGAAGGCTACGTACAGAAAGTTCAAATTTCTCACCATTACAGTTCGCTCTACAAACGTTTATACAGTCCGTGTCGCACACAAGCGAACTGTTGTCCCACGCACCACACACATGCATCGTCTCCCGGCGGCGCCCGCGCAAACCGGCTCGTGACGCAAGCGATGCACTGATAAGGGACACGGTAGAACCATCGTCTAATAACGCATTCGTTTTTATAATACCGTTCGGTCCATGTACACTTACAGGCACTACTTTTAACAACACTTTGCACTCACTGCTTTTAACGTGATTCACACTTTCAGGGGAGGCTGCTAACGACGATGATTCGACTTTAGTAAATTCTTTGACACACTGATTATCGTCGTTCGTTGTTTGGTGCGTGTTATAATGCAGTAACTTATGAAGGGCTTGTCCACAGTTATCGACGTCGCACGCATCTATGCATTTATAGCATAACCGGTGTCGCTTAACCAAACTCCATCGATCTTTGCGTAACGCTTTACGGATTTTTTACAATCGTGTAATTTATGTTTTGAAATACGGCAATACAGACACTTCAATTTGTTCTCGTCGCTTTTATTTAATACCACCGTATGTGTAGTAGCTTCTGTGTACTTTTTCTTGTTGTAATAACCGTCCGTTATATTTTTAGTGATTAATAACGCCATAGACGACACTTTCTTAGCTTCTTCATTTAAAAACTCAGAAATGTCAAACCATGTTGGTCTTCTGCCTTGTTTTATGAATATATAACTGTAATCTGCCCACTTTGAAAGCACAACGGGTGGTAATTTTGACAAAATACAAGTAGTCATACTTATTCCGTTAAGGTATTCTTCACCAATTAATTTGACAGCGGCTACACAGTTTCGCACCCTTATGGAAAGGCAACAATATCTTTGTGATATTCTTAGGATAATGGATGTAATTTCTTGAGGTCTGTTAAAATGCGTGACAATATGACTTCAGGATTACCAAATTGCAGCTCAAGTGTTGACATTATTGTCTCAGGCGAGGTTGCACTAATCAGCAGTTTCGAGACTGCTTCGCGAGCAGATCCTTTCAGACACTTTCTTAAGCGCCACAAGTTTCCATTCTCTTTGAAATTACAGACCTTGGTCGACTCTTCATACGCCTGTTTAAAATGAATCCACTCCATGGGGTCTCCACAAAACAACGGTAAGTCTTTTGGTGTACAAATTCTACTTAACAGGTTGGAGTTAAGATTGTTGCTGGTAGAAGCGGCTGTAAGATCCTTAAGTGTGCTGGCCAGGAGTTGAACTGTTCCCTTAATGCCAGCATTCCGTTTGAGCGGCGCGCACGGCACGTCCGTTGTCTGACCCTGATCATGGACGGGCTGTGCTTCCAGTTCGCGATGTCGGCGCTCCAACCTCTCCTCTACCTCCTTGTTAGTGTAATCTGACCTTACACTACACTCGTCGTCAATTTCTGCTAGTCGTAATCTTTGTCTTTCAGTTCCATTTGAATCTTTGCCTTTGCCTCTGCCGCCTCCAGTTCTAGCTTCTTTTGTCGTGCTAGCACTGAAGAAGATGTAGACCGCTTGGACTTCGGCCTTGAGACCTGATGAGACGTTACAGGCATCGTTTAAAAGTCGACTAACGGTTGTTTCGAATTTACTACACTACCTTCAATTTTTGTATATCGTAACGATTTTTCTTCATTTTGTTTAAAATGCTCTTCAAAAACTTTTTTCTTCTTACTAGGTGGTAATATTGGTAGCTCTTGAGGCGAAGACTGGCCTTCTATTGGTTCCTCATCCTTCCTGGCTGATCTCCTGGAGCGTACCCTACTTCTCGGTGTATGGTACATTTTGCATTAGATTCGGCTCGAAGTGACCAACTGTCTGGGTTAGAAGATCAAAAGAAAGAAGTGACACCCTTTTAACTTCACGAAATAGTATATTAATGCAAAATACAAAGTTTTACAAGTATTCGAGAGTACAGCGATAGAAAACGTGCCGTCACTTAGAGGGTAAGGTCAAATTGGCCTCGAAGAAGCTCGGTGTCCAGAACAGATCAAGGCAGTCTTTCACTCCGGCCCACCGCCTTCAGCTCTATAAGGCACAAGTCCGGCCGCATATGGAATACTGTTCTCATCTCTATGCAGGGGCACCTCAGTACCAGCTTCTCCCTTTGGACCGCATCCAACGAAGAGCGACTCGAATCGTCGATAGCCCAAACATCTCCGATCGGCTCGATCCCATGGCGTTACGTAGAGATGTGGCTTCACTATGCATTCTCTATCGCATATATCATGGAGAGTGCTCCGAGGAATTGTTCAGACTAATACCAGCCGCAAATTTCCACCATCGTTCCACACGCCAAAATTTTCATCTTCATTACCTGGATAGTTGGCGCTGCACTACTGTGCGCTTTTCGAGACACTTTTTGCCCCGTACAACCAATCTGTGGAACGAGTTATCGTCTGCGGTATTTCCGGACCGATACGACCTTCAAACCTTCAAGAAAAGAGCGTACTCCTTCCTAAAAGGCCGGCAACGCGGTTGTGACTCCTGAGTTCCAGACGTTCATTGGCGGCGATAGTCACTTTCCATCAGGTAACCAGTCTGCTCGTCTGCCCCCTCTAACATAAAAAAAAGAAAAGAAAAAAAAAATACGAAAAATAATGGACATCAATGTACATTGATAAATATATTTCATGTCACAGATAAAAGAAATAAAAATTCCAAGTCTCTTCCGTACTAACTAACTACTACTAATTACTAAGTACTAACTTTCAAGAAGATATTGCCGTTTTGATCCTGACTACTCCATTCGTCTACCACTACGTACGACAGACTGGTGTATCTAAATTTTGATATTAACTTCGAAAGGTGGCAATTGCAACATGGGAATACTGGCAAGGTTATTTTATCTATCAAAGTTTTTAGACAGAACACATTACTTTTTTTCTAATACGAATATAGAGAATAACCATGCAATCTGGCGACCACGCTATTAACTTTGGATGACTTTGATGAATAAAAATAACCTCACACATTTTACACATGGCGGTTTGATCTCAAACTAGAAAGAACCTGTACTATAGTAACCAGACTGCTGGTAAACATACTTAAATGTTTCTGAATCATCAATCATCAACAGCCTTTACTAGTCCACTGCTGGACATAGGCCTCTCTTTAGAAAGGAGGTTTTGGCCTACTATACCACGCTGGCCAGACGGGTTCGTATAGGGTTTGTTTCAAGTTTTCCTTCTCTTTTTCTGAATACATACATATCATAGATAAATTACATCCAAACACAGAACAAAATTATTTCTCCTAGTTGAGAATCCAAACCACGACTCTGACTACTGTCTCTATGTCACAGTTGGAACCATACATGGATGAACAGATGCTATGTGGTGCATGGTTCGCTATCCTACACTCGATAGAGAATGGTTGAAATCTTCCAAGAACTTTAAATGTAACAAGCCATATTATACTAAAGTTAATTAGTCAAGAAAGTATAATAGTCGGTATCAACAGTCACTATTTGTTTATCTGGATGACCGTTTACTTTTAGGTTGCAGGGTGGGGTCTCACAACAGCTCACGGAAATGCTCCTATTCTGTAGGTTGTTAGTCCTTTACGGAGTATGTGACCCCATGTTCCCTCTGCTCCCTGGAAGCAAGCGCGCTTCGCAACGCGCTCGCCGCCACCCCGGCCTGCTTCTGCTAGGGTGACAGATGGCCTCACCTGTCACCCCCAGGCCTGCGCTTATGGAGGACGGAGGTGATTCTGCGACCTCCGGCGCCTGAGTCGTCTGCGGTACCTGGCCCGTTCCCGGCCTGGCTGGCCGGGAGAGTTCTAAACCTCTCCCGGTCCCGCTCCGCCGTCTCCTTCGCGAGCATAACTTGCTCGCAGAAGGAGACGGCATAGTTAATGCCAAGGACCTAGAGGCTTCTCCAATCACATTTTGGTCATATAGAAACATAACCCCGACCACTTCAAGCTACAGCAGTCTGTCTCGATTCCCATCCAAGACCTGTCTCTTACCGTAGCTCAATTGCCTTGCTGTCTATTTTTCTTGCCCAATTTATTTCTTTCATTTGTCCCGTCCGAGAACTATTACATTCCTAAAGCCCCCTGCCGCCACCCCTCCACCCCTCAGCTCTGACGATAAAAAAACCCTTAGCAGGTAAAATTTAAAAACGAATAAAATCTACAATAATAACAAATCAAGTATTAACAATAAATAGAATAATATTGTAGGTACCGCTTTGTGCAGAGGTGATAGTGGAGGTGGACTAGCGTTTGCAGACCGAGAACTGGGTATAGATAGATATTACCTTAGAGGCATCGTGTCTGCTGCTCCGCGGAATGATGAAAAACTGTGCAACAATAACGCTTACACAACATTCACTAAGATCACCAAACATCAGGAATTTATCAATGAGTACTTACAGATTCTTTTTATAAGTAAATCGTTGAGAAGGGATTTGGAAAGAAAAATGTTTGGTTACTTATTTTCTTTTTGTACTTTTTTTTCACGAGCAGGTAGCGTATATTTAAACATTTCGTTTTGCCCCTATCAAATAAAAACACCTTTTCTAAGGACTGGTGAAAGAGTACCTATTCTTAGGCTCCCTTCATGATAATCAAACAAAAAAATCTTGAAAAAAGAAAACGATATTGCTGTTCCCTGCCAATTGTAAAATAACCATTTAAAATAATTTTTAGTAACTACTGAAGAATCAACAAATACTGTTTTCAGCGCGCTTGCTGAGAGTACCAGCTGAACGTGTCCGTTTTACTCGTTCTAATGTGTTGATGGATCCTGTGTGGATCAAGGAGCTGATTGTGATGGGGCAGAAGAATATTTTAAGTAAAATGATTACCCAAAAGGGGGCTTGTATTATTAATATATATTGTATAGCGAGTTACATAGGCTACTTACTTTTTACCGCAATGTCGGGTGACATACATGCGGGCGGAGGCGTGGCCAAAAGCTAGTTATTTAAATAAAATATGAACTTTAGGCTGTCATAGTTTTAGTTCGTCACAGAACACCGGTTTTAAGCAGTTCTTTCGTACTTTTCACTGAGCGAGTGAGGTTAGCCGAGCCTCATGCCCCTCTCCCTTCTAATTTAAGGTCAAGGGAGCACTTAAGAGCGACTAAGCACTATTATATCTCAAGGTGTCTATGGGCTACCACGGCCGCCCATGTGGTCAAGACTGCGGTAGTCACTTTAGCTGACTTGTCTGCTCCTTGACCAATATACCAAAAAAGAAACTACAATAACAAATTCTTGAAGTGATAACTTCTTATGGGAGGGTAAACCTTCGTTGCGTAACGCGTTACGGCGCCGCTCTGTGTGGCTTCCCTTTCTCTCACGAATACGGCAGCGGTAGGCAGGCTCTTTAACCTATCACTTGTCTGGCGTCCCGAGGCGCGCACGTTTTTTTTTAAATTTTTAGTACACTTTTTAAATAGAGACACGTAAATATAAACTCTTTGACACTTTAACAAATATGATTCTTGAACAGGTTGTTCAGGAATCGTGTTAAATCTCTGTCTTTCTCTCTTCTAATAAAAAAATCCGTAATTGTACACAATCATTTATATCATAAATTCTTACATAAAATGTACAAAAGGCCACACAATCTCTTCAATCCAGGGTACATAATACTTGACGCGGCTGTACACGCTTGGCTCACCTCCCCCAGTGCAGGAACGCCCGAATGACAAAACTCCTATAAGCGTAAATACACACTGCTCATGATCTTGAGATGTCAGAGGACCACTGGCTTTGACCTTAAAACACATAAAAATTTGTAAACACATTATTGGATTTTATTCTCTAAAACGTTGGCCAAAGAAGAGAAGGGATAAGACATGCTTGCACGTAGCTGAAATGCGAATCTTCACATCCACAGCCTTTAATAGTCCACTGCTGCGCAAAGGCCTAAATTACTTTGGTAAGAAATTAAATGACGCAAGTAACAAAAGAAAACCTTTTTTTTCAAATCTATATACTATCTAATATTCTGCTATGGCTCATTTTTTTCACTAACATGAGTAGGTATGTCGTTTCAAAGGATATTTGGTAAAACAGATGTATTGGACAGAATGTAGAAATCTTGGGATCGAAGGAAGACGTCGCCCACGTCTTTTTTAGTCCATGCTACGCCTCTGGTTAAGTGTCTAAAATTATATTTATGGTATTAGTTGTTTCCAAAAAGAGATTATCCGTTGGACCCTTTGAAATAAATACGAGTAACTACTGTAACAGCGAAGACACTCGAGACAATTGTGGACAGGCATAAAATTACAACAAGACTAGGCTAAAAAAATAACATACATCTGTGCAAAACTAAACTCAAAGACTATTTACGAAAATAAGTCAATAATGTTACGCCCAAGAGACTGAATATTTTGTAAGATATATTTATCTAGATGCTAGAGCTCTGCCTAGTTTAGAGCAGTAATAGTATGGATATTATTAATATAAATATCAGTCACATCACAGTAATCATCACAATAGTTGAATAGAAGCTTGGTAGGGTAACGAAAAGGTTTGAAGCTTCATAAATTTTGTTTTGTGACCTCATTTTAATGATGGGTGTGCAAAGTGCCCCGCCCAAGACGATATACAATATGCACCTAATCACAGAACGTAATAGATTTGTTTAAGACGTCCAGTTAAAATTACTTGTTTTAAGATATGAAAATGTCGGTGAGATTAAGAACTCTTTTGCTCATTGATTGTAAATGAGATTTAAAAGACAAGTAAAGACAAGACTATGTGTGTTCATTTATAAAATACCGATCCTACATCGCACAATATGAGTTGTCAGACCGATGAATATAACATGCCATCATCAACTTAATTGACTAGCCTCGTCGGACGATTATCCCCTCGTGCTGAAGAGATATGACCATAGGATTAAATAGTTCGAATTGTTACAGAATTGTATGGAATGTGAGGACAGCGCCATCTAGTGTCACGTAAAGTGCAACTATTGAGATTTTGATTAATAATTCCTAGCCTAGCTAGCTAGCGCTGTATGGATGGCGCTGCAAGTAACGCATTACTGATGCTGGAACATTCTTGTTTGTCTGGAGCGGACTATCGAATACTAGGGTCATTGTAGTGAGTTCGACAGCACTATAAAAGCGGAGCGTGTTGGACGTACGAGAAAAGATCGTTTTACGACACAGCGAATTAACATCGAAGTGAATTTCTAGTGCGACTAACGATAACGATTTCTTGTTTGTTATAGTAAATGTTTGTAAATACAGTGCAATAAAAATAATTAACCGACAACTTTTATTTATTATATACCCCGCTCTTAACAATATGCTTAACGATGCATATTGCCTAAAAATTCTTCTCACCTCACAAGTACTTCCTGTTTCGTCTTTTTGCCCGTAACACATTTGTGTAGTGTTAACGTAACCATCCCTTAAAGTCCGGGTGGGCGGGAATTTCTTTTGACACTCCTCTGTAGAAAATCTCATCTCATAAATCTACAAAAAAGTCTTTGATTATCCTTCATAACTTAACCGGAAACTATCTTCTTATAAAAATATAAATAGCTGAATTAAATACCTTCATGTTTAAATCGATTAAAGATCACATAGAAACACAGATTTTAAGACAGGTAGACATAATATCTCAATCAGCATTGATATTCTTAGCAGTAAAACTCACACATTGAAGGGTATTATAGACGCTGAAACCCTCACTATATCGGCGCGCCCATCCTGTGAAGTAAGCATCCGTATCGCTTTCATCGTCGACCTGGAGACAAGCTGGAAGGACTGCTCTACTGAATGCAATTCTGAAGCAGAAAAATATTGTATTACAGCAGAGTCACAATTACAGGGCGAACTTTGCTATGGTTTTCTGTTAGGGATGCAGATCATAGCCCATAGCGAAGTTCGTCATCGTAATGGAGGAGGGGGAGGGGGTCGAGCCGAATTTCATCTAATCTTACTTTGAGAGAGGGGGGTCTCGGCAAATATCACGTAATTCCTTACGGATAATAATTTTACTTTGTAGTAAAATTGCTAGAAAACTGGGTTAAATTAAGTAAAACATGTACCTCCACGGAAAATTGCCAAATCTTATGCAATTATATTTACTAGCCTACTTTAAATACTAGTCTGAACTAGTCTTAAATAAAAGCACTAAGCAGATTTATTTAACAATAAATCCGCCTTTACACTAAAAACTCATTTTTTTAAATCTCACGTGAGATTGGGGGATGGGGGAGGGGGTTGAATCAAATCTCACAACATCTCACCAGGGGGGTGTCCCGTGTGTGTAAATGGTCTAAGTAAGTAAGTCTATAGCTGCCTTTTGAGTTCTCCCCCCACTCTCACTCGGTGAAAAGCAACGAAAATATGCCTTAACACAGGCTGTCTATGATACCGTGGTATCAGTCAACTTGAGTTTTTTTTATTATTATTGAAGAGGAAGCATACTAGCAGACAGGTCATCTAATGGAAAGTTACTACCACCGCCCATAAACGCCTGCAGCTCAGGAGTCACAAGCGCGTTGCCGGCCTTTGAGGAAGGAGTACGCTCTTTTCTTGAAGGTTTGAAGGTCGTATCGGTCCGGTAATACCGCAGACGATAACTTGTTCCACAGATTGGTTGTGCGAGGCAAACAGTGTCTTGAAAAGTCCACAGTATCCAAGTAATAAATGAGCCAAATTAATAGTGAATCTTAGCCATCAATATCAAGAAATGAATGAATAATTTATTTGAAAACCTTTTGAAAGAAACTTCACGCTATCTAAAAAAAAAACACTAAGAGAACAATTAGGAACCGCTTTTAGATCATGAGTAAGATCAAATTTGGGTCACGAGTTATGGGCTACTTTATGTTAGTAAGGGTATATCTCAAACTCACATCACATATGGTGAAACATCGTGTGTTATGAATAAATACCTATTTGACATAGACACCTCTTCCGATTGCATACCAGAGAGAGTCAAGAAATACATAAATAAACATTATGAGCATCTTCATGTTCTGTACTTACTCTTTGTCCGTTTCCAGCAAGGCAATGTCGTGATACCTATATGGTGCGATGTATTTCGGATGAGGAATAGCCCTCTTCACGTTGTACCGCTGCCATAACCGAGGTGGATCAGAGCGTTTTAGCATACCCACGGCAATATATTTCACAGGACCGCTGAGGATAGCAAACCAAACTTTTACTTTCATCAGGCAAATTGTAAACTTGATATTGGTTATTGTTTGTGTTTCAAATTTAATGGATGTGTTATTTTCTTAATTTGTTATTTTTTCTTAATTTTATTTCATTTTTAATTTATTGTAACTACTAAGCACTTTTATATCATAAAATAATTATTTACTTAGATGTAAATGTGCATGCTGTGGTCTCCTCTAACTGAATGAGTACACATAACAAATACCAGTATTAAATGTAGGTATTCTCAATATTTTGTGTTAACAAAAAGAATGTTAGAAATTCTTAAATAAATAAACAGCCTTGGAAAGTCAACTGCTGGATATAGGCCTGTCCTTAGAAAGGATGTTTAAGCCTGACAGGTTAGTATAGGGTTTGTGTCAAGTTTTTCTTCTCTTTGCTGTGCTCATGTCCTGCGTAGTTTGCTCCCTTAGTCGGCTCTTACGACACCCACAGTATGAATAGAGGGTGACACTCCGTATCCTTAATCCGTCACCACACGGATAATTTTGAATTGTATCATATTTGAATGAATTTGAGACACAATTGGGTATTTTTTTCAGAAATGAAAGACTTTTCGCTTTCATTCTCAAAAATCATAACAGCTCATATTTTAAAAGACGTGATCACAATGTATGGTATTAAAAATATATAGTTACACATTATATTTGGATAATTACTTTAGACCCAACATAGGTTTTTCTATGGTATAAGGGGGCAAACGACGGGAATTAATCGCGAGTAACTACCACTGCCCACGGACCCCGCCAACTCAAGAGTACGATGTGCGTGGCCGACCGCTAAGTGTCTACCCCTAGAATCAGGCGGAGGGGGGTTGAACTCCGGTAACATAACTTACTTTGAAAAGCAACAGTTAAACTGCCTAACACCGGTTTTCTGTGAGGCCGCGACATCACTCGGTCGAGCCTGTCCATTGCTGGCCAGACGGGTTGGTATAGGGTTTGTCTAGCGTCTGGGCACGTCCTAGCGTCTGGGCACGTCCTTGTGCTGGGGGACTTCAACGCAAAGTCCATTGCGTGGGGTTCCCCCAGGACGGACGCAAGGGGGGAGGCCGTAGAGGAGTGGGCGGCCTCGGTGGGCCTCTGTCTTCTCAACAGAGGCTCCACCAACACGTGCGTGCGACAGCAGGGGGGGTCGATAGTGGACCTTTCGTTCGCTACCCCTGCCCTCGCCGCACGAGTAAGGAACTGGCGTGTCCTGGAAGAGGTTGAGACGCTCTCAGATCATCTGTATATCCGATTTGAGCTCTCCCGGACCCAGGACTCCAGTAGGGGTCACGTGGCGCGGCGTTTATCCCGCTTTCCGCGGTGGGCTGTTGCCAGACTGAACCGGGACCTACTAGAGGAGGCAGCCATAATTCACTCGTGGCTGTCTCCTCAGGCTCCGACCGAGGAGGTCGACGTGGGGGCTGGTCGCTTTCGCGATGCGATTACGCATATATGCGATGCGGCCATGCCCCGCATTCGAGGTCGTCGGCCTCCAAGGAAGGAGGTCTACTGGTGGTCCCAGGAGCTGGCGGACCTCCGTGCGGCCAGTACACGTGCCCGGAGGTCCTACACGCGCAGTCGGCGGCGTCACCGCGGAGACGGTGAGGAGGACCGGCTTCATGAGGAGTACCGACAGGCGCGGAAAACTCTGAAGCTGGCCATTAGCCGCGCCAAAGAAGAAAAGAGACAGGAGATGCTGGAGGGTCTTAATCGTGACCCCTGGGGTCGCCCTTACCGCGCGGTGCGACAAAAGCTCCGCGCGTCGGGCCCCCCCCCTTACGGAGACTCTCCAGCCCAGCTTCCTGCGAGAAGTGGTTGAGGGCCTTTTCCCACAACGAGCGGAACACACTCCCCCGGCGATGGCCTCCTTGGCCGGAGACGACGGGGAGCACGGGGAGGATAATGTTCCGCCCGTCCGGGATTCGGAGGTAGGGGCGGCTGTTCTACGGATCCGTTCCAAGAACACCGCCACTGGGCCAGACGGGGTACCGGCCCGAGTGCTGGCCCTGGCCCTCAACCACATGGCAGACCGCCTCGGGGAGGTGTTCGACGCTAGCTTGGCGTCGGGACGCTTCCCTGAGTGCTGGAAGAGCGGGAAGCTGGTCCTATTAAGGAAGCCGGGACGGCCTGCCGATTCGGTCGCGGCCTATAGGCCCATCGTGCTACTGGACGAGGCGGGTAAATTGTTTGAGAGGGTTCTTTCTGCTCGCATCGTCCGGCACCTCTGCGAGGTGGGCCCCGATCTGTCGGACGCCCAATTTGGTTTTCGGGCGGGGCGTTCGACAGTCGACGCCGTGTTGCGCCTGAGGGCCGTGACCGAAGAGGCCGTGAGCTGTGGCGGCGTGCTGTTGGCGGTGTCATTAGACATCGCCAACGCATTCAATAGTCTGTGGAGGAACGAGTGTCATGTCCCTCCAACACAAAGGAAGGATCCTCCGACCAGGCGAGGTGATCATGCCTGGCGGGCCGAGGCCCCACGGTTGATGTTGGGATATTGTATATATGCTAATCGGCGAGGGAATTCTTTATATCGCGATACAGGATTAGCAATTCTTATTTAAGTAGTTACTCCGTAGTTCGGTGTGTCTTCATTAGATGGCGCTGTAGTATGTTTATGTGTCGAGTCGCCACATCACTCCCCTCCAAGACCGGAGGTCGATATATCATGAGTCAGCTGTCTATGCCCTGTTGTGGAGCGTGCCAGTGCCAGTAGAGAGTAGTTCCAGTGAGTCGGAACTGAGTGCCGCTAGTTCCAGTGGGTCGGAACTGAGTGCCGCTAGCCCCAGTGAGTCGGGGCTGAAGTCCGCTGATCCCAGTGAGTCGGGATGGCGTGCGGTGCGCGGTGCTGCGGTGAAGTCCCCAGTGAGTCGGGGCGGTTGCTGCGTAGTGGCTGGCTGCTGCGTAGACGGGAGAGAAAATGCTCTTCTTACGTGGACCGTAGGTGCAGTGTGCTGTGTCTAGACGCTGATGAGGCCGTAGAGGTAACCAGGCTGGAGCGGTCGCTACCTGCGTGTGGTATCCCTGTAGAGGCCGAGGTTGCTGGCTGGCTGAGACTTGATTACTGCTCATCGCTGTGGGAGTGTACACGATGGTGCTGCTGATGATCTGCTCCTTTTGAAGGCTGCTTCCAATCACGTCGGGGTCACCACTGCCGAGGAACGAGTGTCATGTCCCTCCAACACAAAGGAAGGATCCTCCGACCAGGCGAGGTGATCATGCCTGGCGGGCCGAGGCCCCACGGTTGATGTTGGGATATTGTATATATGCTAATCGGCGAGGGAATTCTTTATATCGCGATACAGGATTAGCAATTCTTATTTAAGTAGTTACTCCGTAGTTCGGTGTGTCTTCATTAGATGGCGCTGTAGTATGTTTATGTGTCGAGTCGCCACATCACATGCCTGGCGGGCCGCGGCCCCACGGTTGATGTTGGGATATTGTATATATGCTAATCGGCGAGGGAATTCTTTATATCGCGATACAGGATTAGCAATTCTTATTTAAGTAGTTACTCCGTAGTTCGGTGTGTCTTCATTAGATGGCGCTGTAGTATGTTTATGTGTCGAGTCGCCACAAGTCTGCCATTCAGCTGCATCAGGGAAGCACTCCACTATCATGGGGTGCCAAAGTACCTGAGGCGGCTAGTGGCAGACTATTTAGAGGAGCGTACCGTCGTGTACGAGGACCGAGAGGGCAATTTGAGGTGTCGGCCCATGTCGTGCGGTGTTCCACAGGGGTCTGTTCTTGGACCCCTCTTGTAGAACATAGGGTACGACTGGGCCCTTCGCGCCGATTTCCCCCCCGGGCTGGGTGTAATCTGTTACGCAGACGATACCCTGGTGACAGCCCGGGGGGCAAACTTCCAAGAGGCGGCGCGCCTGGCCACAGGGGGAGTCTCCCTGGTGGTCGGGCGCATTGAGGCGCTGGGCTTACGGGTGGCCCTAGATAAGACGGAGGCCCTGTTATTTCATGGGCCCCGTCGTGGTCCACCCCCTGGCGCCTCAATCGTGGTCAACTCGGTCCTCGTACCGGTTCGGGCCCAGATGAAATATCTGGGCCTGATCCTCGACGGGAGGTGGCTCTTCGACGAGCACTTCCGACAGCTTGCTCCAAAGCTGGTCGGCGCTGCGTCTGCCCTAGGGCGACTTTTGCCCAATATGGGTGGACCCAGCGTCGCGACAAGACGGCTGTACACGGGGGTTGTCCGGTCAATGGCACTGTACGGTGCACCGGTGTGGGCGGCGGCTCTGACCGCCCAGAATAGGGTACGCCTCTGGCGCCCTCAGAGGGTAATGGCGGTCAGAGCCATACGCGGTTACCGCACCGTTTCGACGGAGGTGGCATGCGCGTTGGCCGGAACTCCCCCGTGGGATTTGGAGGCGGAAGTGCTCGCCGAAGTTTATCGGCGAGTGGCTGACTCCCGGGCGGAGAGCGGATTTCGCCCTCCGCCCGAGGATGTGCGCGAGTGGCGCGAAGCCGCTCGCCGAGCCACGATGGCTCGTTGGTCGTTCCGGCTGGAGACTCCACTGGCTGGCTTCGCCGCCGTGGAGGCTCTCCAGCCGGTCATCGCCGAGTGGGCAGGGCGGCAGCACGGGACCCTTTCCTTCCGGCTGACGCAGGTGCTTTCCGGGCACGGTTGCCTCGGAAAGTACCTGCACTCGGTCGCTAGGAGGGAACTGAGTCCCGCCTGCCACCACTGCGACTGCAGTGAGGACTCGGCCCAGCACACGCTGGCGGTCTGCCCCGCATGGGCGGCGCAGCGCCGGGCCCTCACTGCAGTCATCGGAGTGGATCTCTCGCTACCGGCCGTAGTACGCTCCATGGCCGGTAGCGACAGTTGTTTTACCGCGGTCGCAACCTTCTGCGAGGTAGTAATCTCGCGGAAGGAGGCGGCGGAGAGGGCCCGGGAGGACGACCTCCACTCGGACCCGATCCGCCGCCGGCGAATCGGTCGGCGGAACCCCGCCTATCACAGCCTCATGCCGCCCTGAGTGTGGCCGCGGGTGGACGGGGTGGGTTTCCCCTCCACCCGCATTAGTTTGGCCAGCCGCGAGGGGGCGGCGTCCGCGTGTGCCGGACGTCGCCTAAAGAGAGGAAAAACATTGAGACGGAGCCCGCACCAGGAGCGGGCTGGCGCTAGGAGGGGTCCGGATGCTTAACAACAGCTGTTCCCGGATCCCTCCTGTTACAGGCGCAGAGTGGCACACCGTGTGGGTTTAGTCGGTCCGAGTCCGACACACCACCCCGCCGCAAACCCCGGAGGGGTGACGGTCCGAGGGGATTTCCACACGTTAAAAAAAAAAAAAAAAAGGGTTTGTTTCAAGTTTTCCCTCTCTTTACAGTGCTGTTATCTTGCAGAGTTTGCTCCCTTAGTCGGCTCTTATGACACCCACGGGATGAACAGGGGTGGTAACATTCCGTATTATTAATCCATCACTATACGGATCCTTTACAAGATGTAAAGCAACCTTCCGTGTTGATATCAGGGTCCAAACAAATGACAAATTACTTGAGTAAATTTAACAGTTTTTTTTTTGTACACTTACGCCAACCGGTCTATCAGGCAGTGCGCTGCAGTGAGAACGAACCTTTCACTAATGACTGCTCCATTACACTTCCAATCAGTTTTTTCGGGTGTTTCGAACCCCAATAAAGCCTGCAACGTTTAATAAAACTACTGAATACAACAATGAACTATCAAAGAGAGAAGATAAAGGACGTTGAGAAAATCTTTTGTGACTGTTCTTTGATTTATCCTGGAATATATACGTGCTGAAGTTCATTTTTACTTTTAGGTATAGCCAAAGACTGGCCTGTTAACGTAGTGGTTAGTCTTGTATTACTAAGCCAGAGATCGTGGGTTCGATTGCCTTCCAGGACAAGTAATTAAGTGATGAGCATGGTTACTTGTTCTGTGTCTGGGTGTAATTTATCTCTATATGTGTGCATTTAGAAATACTTTTATGGTATAGGAAAACAAACCGATAAACGGGTCACCTGACGGTAAGTGACCTCCGCTGCTCATCAACACGTTAAATCTCAAGAGTCACAAGTGCGCTGCCGCCCTTTCAGTCTTTCTCCCAGAATTAGTGGAGTGAGTCAGTTACCGGAGCCCAAACCCAAACTCACTTACTCGGTGACAAGCGATGAAAGAACTGCTCAGCACCTTTTTTTTTATTTTTTTTATTCAATGCTTTATGGACAAAGTACAACTCACTTGTACTTAAAGTCACAGGCATTTTCTTCCAGTCACCATTTGGATGTTGGGGAAATGTATGAGTAGGTGAACTAGAAATTGAATTATGTTTTAAAAAAGATAACAATTATACTTAATTGAGGAGTTGGACAGAAACAGTGCGACAGATATACATTAATACAGACTGAAATACACATATACATATACTTGCTGAGTTACATACATACATATAATATACACAAATAAAGTTACTGTCATCATCATCATCAGCCTATCGCAGTCCACTGCTTTTATTTATTTATTTATTTATTGAGGCACACAAAACAGAACATAACACAAAGCTTAGTCTTATAGATAGCTAACACAAACAGTTTCGATCTTAGCTATGCTCCTAAATATGTGTACACAACATGGCAATGTAGGTGATACAAGATGAGATTACATGCAACCTAAAGAGCTAAGTATTAACATAAAAATAAAAATAAGTATAAAATTTGAAACGTATTTAAAATGTATAAGATGTTTAACATATCAGACCAACGTTGATGACATAATATGCGTAACATTATTTTTAAATTTACTAAATTTGGTATTAAATATGTCAAGGGTGTCCAAATGTTGGGGTAGTAATTCATTATAGAGACGACACATTCTAACAATGGGATTATAAAAAGAAGTATTATTTAGATGCAGATTCAAAGTGAAGCTTCGGTAGTGACGCTGACGTAACCTAAACCTCGTGTTAAAATTTATTTGGGAAAGCAAGTCAGGACAGTCAACAACGGAATGTATGATCTTATGGAGACATAGCAGATCATGACACTTGCGGCGGGATTCAAGGGAGAGCAACTTAAACTTGTCTAATCTGTCTTCATAAGAGCAAACATCCCGGCCAACGTTGTATCTGAAGCACAATATTTTGAGGCACTTCCTTTGGATACTTTCTATTCTATTTATATGGACAGCATAGTAAGGAGACCAGACAGGTGAATTGTACTCTAGTACAGTGCGAATGAGTGCATTAAAAAGGAGGAGAAGACTACGAGCCTTCCTGAACTCCTTCGTGACTCTCAATATGAATCCCAGAAGGCTCGAAGCTTTGCTAAGTATATTATTATAATGTTCGCGAAAAGTCAATTTTTCATCAAAAGCAACACCGAGATCCTTTACAACCTGCTTTCTTTTAAGAGAGTGACCATTAAGATTGTAATTGAACAGTACTTTCTGAGATTTAGTTGTAAAAGAGATAACACAACATTTGGTCACATTTAAGGTCATATAATTCTCAACGCACCAACTGTCTATGCTCTCTAGGTCTTTTTGAAGGATTTCCGCATCCTGGGTACTCTTAATGATAGAAAAGACCTTAAGATCATCTGCGTAGAGCAGGCAGTGATTGTTTAACTTATCTACAAGGTCATTAATAAATATGACAAAGAACAATGGACCCAAATGCGAACCCTGCGGTACCCCCGAGAATGCCACAAATGGAGAAGAAACCTCGCCCTTAATTGCAACTAGCTGACTCCTTCTGGACAAATAAGACTCGATCCATCGCAGCAGACTGCCATGAATGCCGTAGCTTGAAAGTTTACAACATAACAAAACGTGGTTAACTTTATCGAAAGCCTTAGAAAAGTCCGTGTAAATGGAATCTACTTGTTCTCTTCGACCAAAAGCGCAGCAGAGATAATCTTTATAAACTAGTAAATTGGAAAGGGTAGACCTACCCTTGACGAAACCATGCTGCCGCGGAGATACGTACGGGGAAAAGTGATAATATAAATGGTCGTATACAACAGACTCAAAGAGTTTAGCGATGCATGACAGTATACTGATTGGCCTATAATTCTCACAGTTTGACCTGTCGCCGGCCTTAAAAATAGGGACTATGTGGGCCATTTTCCACATCGTTGGGAACACTCCAGAACGAATTGAGTTGGTGAATATTGTGGACAAAGGCGTGCAAAGTTCCTTACTACAATGTTTAATAAAAGAGGGAGGTATACCGTCGGGTCCCGCACCTTTGTTGGCATCTAGATTAAGAATTTTCTTTAGAATGTCTTTTTCATTAATGTGTATAGTGCTTAATGAGCTAACTTGTCGATTGTTAGAGAAGACAGGCACTCTAATATCAGACGTGGGAGATTCGTATACAGTGCTAAAGTAACTAACGAATAGGTCACAAATATCTTTGTGATTTGTAGAGCTTTTGTTATTATATGTCATGGTTAAGGGTATTGAGTTAGTTTTTTTTTTGTTGTTGACATATCTCCAGAAATGTTTTATGTCCGATGTCAATGAGGACTCAACAGATGAAACAAAACTTTTGTAATCTTCATTCATAAGTTTCTTACATCTAGTACGGAGCATACTAAAAGTATCATAGTCTCGAGGATTTTTATAGAGACGGTATCGTTTGTGATATTTAGACTTTTCTTTCAGACCGCGTTTTAATGCAGGACTGAACCAAGGAGGATATGAGTATGAATCATCTTTTGTCAACGGAGTATGCTGCACTATAACTTCGTTAAGGATAGAGTAAAATTTGCTAACCGCACTATCAACATCAGTATCGTCCAACTTCGTAGACCAGTCAACCTTAGCCAACTCTTCTTTTACTTTATCATAGTGACATTTAAAGAAGTTAAATTTCTTACGCCTTGCCGGTTTTAGACTTTTCAGGTTAATGTTACTCAGGTCGCAGTCTATAATGAAAGGTGGGTGATGTTTATCAGGGCGACTTAATGGCTCGTAGCCATAAACTTGAACAGTGTTCAGTGTTGAAAGCACAAGGTCAAGGTAACGGTTATTTTTGTTGGGAATGTTATTAAATTGACGGAGGCCACACAAATTTAGGGTGTCAATCAGTTCCCTAGATTTTTGATCCGAGGGTAGGCTTGGGATCATTACACAAGAGAGTACTCATAGACCACGTAAGAGAGGGCGTGTTGAAATCGCCAACAAGAATGAATTCGCCGTTGGAAGAAGTTTCTGTTATTACCCTTTGACAGTTATTGTAAAACGATTCAATTAAATGACTGGGTAAATCGGGGGGTAAGTAACAGGTGCAAAGATTCATAAGTTTGCCAATTCCGGTGTCGGGAAAAGAAATTGTCACCCATAGATCTTCCGCGGGAGACTCCCAATCCGATTGGCGCCTAGCATTTATACCCCTTTTGACAGCTATAAGCACGCCGCCACCCTCGACTTTATTAACAGAACTACTATGGCGGTCTCTTCTAAAAACCGTGTAACGGTTATCCAGTAATTCATTGTCAAAGACGCTAATATTTAGATTAGTCTCAGTTAGGCATATTACATCAAAATTGCTATTTAGAACATTCAAATAAAATTCAGGCATCTTAGATCTAATACGATTTACATTCTGATAATAAATTAACATGATAAAAATATTTATAAAAGGCAAATTATTGCGACCATACATTACTAAAAAGAAAAGAAGAGAGAGAAAAAAACAGGAGAATACATTAAAGATTATGTTAATTTGTCCAGGCTGTCCATATTTTTGATGTGGATGTGGTCGGTTCTTTCCGTTTTCCGAACATAAACCCGTCCAAATTTCACCCAAACGAATTTATAGTTGATCTCTTTCGCCTTTTTCCTTGTTGCGGCATGTAAAGCCTTGCATTCGGGTGAAAGATGTTCCGAAACGTAGATGTTACAGTTTTTTGAAGTGATCCCCACATGAGTGCTATTCAGAGGCTCCTTAGAAGAATTTCGTAGCCGACGACAAGCGGACAGAATTTGATCTCTCAGAGTGGAGTTAGAAAGGGTGACAATGATATTGCGAGGGCGATCAGATGTTGAGTTTATTTTAGCTACTCTTCTGCATGACAATATACTCGAGTCGTCTATCTGAAAATTGATACTGGTGCACAGGTTCTTGATCAGAGTGACAAGATTTTCATTTCGACTCTCAGGGACTGCCTGTAGTTCAAGATTTTGGCCCCTGGATATTTTTTCTATTACAGATATACGATTGTTCAAAGTATTAATTTATTTTTGTAGGTCGCTATTGTTCCTTTCCAATGCTTTGATAGTGTTCATTTTACTGTTAATTTCCGCACGCAGGTCTCGCTGATCAGCACATATAAAGTCCGTAGTGCTTGTGAAATCCTCCTTCAACTGTTTCATAGCGTCACGAATTTCAACTTGTACTTGTTTTTTTACTTCCTCGTGAACTACGGTACGGATTTGATCCATTAAGTGACTCAGAGAGGCATTGAGTTTTTGTTCCAATAAATTACTAATATTTTCCATCGTCACTTGGGTATTCGGATTGTACGTAGATGCTCGTATGCCCATGTTATTGGGAGGGGTACGTATGTCGAAAGACATGTTCATAGACTCCTGTTGTGGCGAAGCTGTTATTTGAACATTTGACGAACTCGCATTAGTTGATCTATTGCGTCGAGTAACGTTATTGCAGGATGTACACAACCACCTCTGTCGATAATTCTCAGTCAGGTTCGAATATTGGTCAGCGCCTATATTAACACAAGTGTAGTGAAAATAACAACTACATTGTTGGCATCGCAGGAAACCTTCCGAGCTATTAATTATTTTATTACAGACAGAACAAATCATGTCCAACAAATTCAGAAAGATCACAAAAAGAACCAGTTGAAACCGGGGATCGATCCGGGGGCATGTGATCCTAGGTTATCTCCTTAACCGGTTATCTCCTTAACCACGGCGTATATTACTGAGAGCGTCAAATATGGTAGCTACTTTGTAACGTCTTGTTGACTAAACCAGTGATAAAGTCGTATTTGGCTTGAGTTACAGATTGCGTTATTACTTAATTGTGGGTATTTATATATTCACAGGCACTTTCAACAATCAATATTCAGTTTTCAACACATGATCTCACTATAATAACGCCGTAATAATGATGTTAGTGTTACGGAACCAGATACGTCGTAACTTAGTGAATGATTTGATGCAACTTAAACAACACTTCAGACACTTATCACGGTAAAATTTTATTAATGTCTAATAATCTATTGCAGCATGACTGATCACCAACGATCAAATTGATTGGAGTAGCTGGACATGGTAGCTGGAGCTGGACATAGGCCTCTCCCATTGCACGCCACTTAGATCGATTTTGGGCTTCTCGCATCCAGCTCCTGCCAGCCATCTTGCGCAAATCGTCACTCCACCTGGCCTGTGGGCGTCCTACACTACGTTTGCCGAGACGCGGTCTCCACTCAAGAACTCGTTTTCCCCAACGGTTATCGGTTCTGCGGCTAATATGGCCAGCCCAAAAGTTACTGTAAGGCCGTGGTATCACTCCGGTCGAGCCTGGCCTATATGTGCCGAAGCATGGCTCTTCCACGGTTAATGTATAGGTGTATTTATCAGCAGTCTGGTTTTCATAGTGTAGGCTCTGCCTAGTTAGGGATCAGAGGGCCGTGTGTGACATTTCTGGTGTTTTACCATTATTCATCATCATAAACAACCTTTAATAGTCCACTTCTGAACATAGGCTCCTTAGAAAAGAAGGTTTTGGCCTACTATACCACGCTGGCCAGGCGGGTAGGTATAGGGTTTGTGTGAAGTTTTCCTTCTCTTTGCATTGCTGTTGTCCTGCGTAGTTCGCTCCCTTAGGCGAGCTTATGAAACCTTCTAATTATTATATTAATGTAAAATCTTACCATATGTGGAAACTCTTCCCTTAAGGCGTCTCTTCTACCCTTATAGTGCGTTCGACTTGGTTGTACATTAACTTTGCGATAACAATTTTTAACAGGGTCCAATTGAACTGTGATATTGCGCAGAGAACTGTCTTTTTTGCAAGGATAGTCCAGAGTGTTAATATATTCTAGGCATTCTGGAACAAGACATTTTTTCTTATGTTAGTAGTTAGTGTTAGTATGACAAAGGCTACTTTTAACAGCTATAACCGACATACGAGTACTTAAATTGAACTCATGCCCCATGACCAGTATTCTGTATATATATGTATGTATAATATTTTAGATTCCATTAGATCTTTATGTCAGGGGTACCACTGCTCCCGGCGGACTCACCGTCCGCCTACCGGCCCATAGTGTTGCCTGACGAGGTGTGCAAGCTCTTTGAAAGAGTGATTGCAAGGCGCCTCGTCAAGCATCTCGTGATGGTTGGGCCGGATCTGGCGGACAGCCAGTACGGTTTCCGTCAGGGGCGCTCCACCGTGGATGCGATCATGCGCGTGAAAGCTCTGGCGGAGGAAGCAGTCTCCCGGGGCGAAGTGGTGTTGGCGGTGTCCTTGGACATCGCCAACGCGTTCAACACTATGCCCTGGAGCTGCATCAGGGAGACGCTCGTGTATCACGAAGTGCCTCTCTACCTCCGCCGCATAGTCGGGGCATATTTGTCGGAGAGAGCCGTCGTCTACCCCAGTAGGACCGGTCTCGGTAGGCGTAAAATGTCGGTGTTAGGGCCACTCTTGTGAACATCGGCTACGACTGGGTGCTTCGTGGTGCCTTCTTGGATGGTGTCGCCGTCGTGTGCTACGCGGACGACACACTCGTGACGGCGCGCGGCAAGACGCACCACGAGGTAACCCTGATGGCCACGGCCGGGGTTGCCCAAGTCGTTGAGCGCATCCGGCGGCTGGGGCTCGAGGTGGCTCTGCACAAGTCCGAGGCCCTGTTCTGCCACGGGCTTCGGAGCAAGCCGCCTGAGGGATCTAGCCTCACGGTAGGAGGCACTCGCATCGGCATCGAGCCCTCTATCAGGTATCTGGGGCTCGTACTCGATGGCCGATGGGACTTCGGATATCATTTCCGAGGTCTGGTCCCCAAGTTGGTTGGGGCAGCGCGTGCGTTGGCGCGGCTGCTGCCCAACATGAAGGGACCCTATGACTCCTGCAGGAGACTCTACTCGGGGGTTGTGCGGTCCATGGCCCCTTTACGGGTGCCCAGTATGGGCGGGGGCCCTGAAGGCCAGCAACGTCGCGATACTGCGACGACCGCAGCGAGTGCTGGCCATCAGGATCATAAGGGGGTACCGCACGATCTCCTTTGAGGCGGCGAGTCTCCTGGCCGGAACTCCACCGTGGGACCTGGAGGCGAGAGCCCTTGCGGCTCTGTATAAGTGGCGCAAGGAGGCGCGGGAGTTGGGTCGGTGTCCCGAGACTCGAGAAATCGATGACCGGAAATCCCAACTCCGCCAGGTCATCATAGGGGAGTGGAAGGAACGACTCGGGCAACCGAGCGCCGGGCACGCCGTCATCGCGGCGGTAAGACCTGTTATGGAGGATTGGCTCGAGAGGCATCACGGGACCCTCTCATACCGACTGACGCAGGTGATAACTGGGAAAGGATGTTTCGGGGATCACCTATGTCTGATCCGCAAGGAGCCAACGCCTGAGTGCCACCACTGCGATGGCCAGACCGTGGACACGGCTCTCCACACGCTGGCAGAGTGCCCGGCGTGGGTTGAGCAGAGGCGAGACCTCGTGGCGGCCATCGGAGTGGGAGTTCTCTCGCTCGATAGCCTGATTGCGGCTATCGTGCGGAGCGAGAGTGCGTGGAACTCTGCCGTCTCCTTCTGCGAGCAAGTTATGCTCGCGAAGGAGACGGCGGAGCGGGACCGGGAGAGGTTTAGAACTCTCCCGGCCCGCCAGGCCCGGGAACGGGCCAGGTACCGCAGGCGACTCAGGCGCCGGAGGTCGCAGAACGACCTCCGTCCTGCATAAGCGCAGGCCTGGGGGTGACAGGTGAGGCCATCTGTCACCCTAGCAGAAGCAGGCCGGGGTGGCGGCGAGCGCGTTGCGAAACGCGCTCGCTTCCAGGGAGCACAGGGAACATGGGGTTCCCACACGGGGGGGGGGGGGGGGGGTCGTCTACTCGTCTGTAGATGACCCGAGGTATGTCGGGGCACCAGGGACTTCCTTTCTAGGGTATACCTGGTTCCCCGGCTATTAGTACCCGAGACGGCGTGCCACCGACAGGTGGTATCCGAGGGGATTTCCGCACGGAAAAAAAAAAAAAAAAAGGGGTACTACTGCAACTTCTATCGATAGTTTTATTGTGGTATACGGGTATGCGACCCCGGCTTCCTGAGCTGCTACTGTCTCTGGCCCCCTCCCGCAGAGACAGAAGTATCCCACTCAAAGTCTGTTTCGGCGAGGGTGGCAACCCAATGCAGATATTGCGAAAGGGCTTGGTACACTCGGCGACTCAGCAAGGCAAGGTGGACGGCCTAGGGCGACGGTAGAGGGCGTACAGTTACCGTCGGCCAGACACATCATCCGACCTCTTCTTCAGTCGTAGCGACTCACCGTTCCACTGAATCGGGAAGGGGGAGGACAAGTGTGTGCGCCTGCGTAGGTGCGAACGCTTGCGCACCTTAATATATCCTGCGCAATTGACTGCTTCCGATATTGGACTCCGAGTACGCTAAGTCCTATGGCGATGGGCTGAGGTAGAGAGGTCCGGCTCGATGCAAGCCGGGCTTTGTCTGATGTCTGCACATAGGCGGCCCCAGGGGCGCGAGTACACGTCGTGGTCATTTTCGCATTGCAAGCTTGGGACAACAATGCGAATTCGGCAGCACCTGGGGTGACAGAGCAGCCCTATTTAGGGAGGCACTGCTCTACTCGCTCAGCCGAGGAGTGGGCTAGAAAAGGTGCCCTAAAAAAATGCTCGTCCCGACCCGGAGGGTGGTAGTAACCGCGGCAGCCACTGCATCAATCTAATTCGTGGTAGACGTATCAGAAATAATAAAAGCATCATGAAACCACCTATCATGACATTTGGCGCGTGGAACGTAAGAACGCTGATTGACCGAGATGGCAACGCCTGCCCCGAGCGCAAAACCGCTATAGTAGCTCGGGCACTTCATCGCTATAATGTGGATGTGGCTGCACTCAGCGAAACACATCTCGCTGATGAAGGAGAGCTGGTGGAAGTTGGAGGTGGCTACACTTTCTACTGGAAAGGCACCCCATCATTAGAGCCTCGTAGGTCTGGGGTAAGATTTGCCATCAAAACTCAATTAACAAAGCGACTCCATGAATGCCCTGCGCACATCTTGGACTGCGTTACCACACTGCGCCTTCACCTGGACACGGATAACTACCTTAATGTCATCAGTGTTTATGCCCCAACGTTGGACAAGTCTGATGACATCAAGGACAAATTTTATGAGGAATTATCTCAATGCCTTAACAACATCAACAGCAAAGAGCAGATCTATACTGCTGCTAGGCGATTTCAATGCCAGAGTTGGCCGGGACTATGAGGCTTGGCCTGGACTTCTGGGTGGACACGGAGTCGGCAACATGAACAGCAATGGTCAGTTGCTGCTCAGTCTTTGTGCTCAACACGACCTTGCGATATCAAACACTATGTTCCGGCTTGCCGCCAAGCACAAGACAACGTGGATGCACCCGCGGTCCAAACACTGGCATTTGATAGACTACGCCATCATACGGCAACGAGACATCAGTCAAGTGCAAGTATAGTACATAGAGAAAAAGCCCGCGTGTTTAAACGTGGATAGGCTAAAGCATTGCGAGGCTAGAAAAGAATATGCCGAAGCCTTAACGGGAAAACTGTTGCCTGCAGATGAGACGGATGATGTCGGTGCTGCTTGGAGAGCTTTGTCTAGTCACATTATGGAAACCGCTTCAGCTGCATTGGGTACAAAATACCGGCGTAGCGATGACTGGTTCGATGACAACAATGAGGCTCTCAAGGCAGCATTCGGCAAACACCGAGAGCTTTTGCGGCAGCACAGTAGAAGAGGCGGAAGCATTGCGGCGGTCAAAGCGAGTGGCTTGCTGACACTAAACAGCTTGGGGAGTTTTACCGCGAGGTGCGAAAGCTGATTGGTATTTCCTACCGAGCAAAAGTACCGGTGAGGTCTTTAGACAATTCACACCTCCTTAATAGCAAGGAGGAAGTACTTAAACGTTGGGCTGAACACTTCAATACTCTGCTCAACGTGGATCGATTAGCCGATCTGCAAAACATCAGCTTAATGCATCAACTCCCTTTATCTATCGAGCTGGCTCACTAACGCTCGACGAGGTTGTCACTGCCATCAGACAGCAGAAAAACAAGCGGGCAGCTGGCATTGACCATATACCAAGCGAGCTATTGAAATGAGGCGGCAAGGATTTGCACACGTCGGTGTGGAAACTGTTTGTTCGAATGTGGGAGGAGGAGCGAGTCCCAGACGATTTTAAGCTGTCTCGTATTAGTGCCCTCTACAAGAACAGGGGGGAACGATCCGACTGTAACTCATATCGTGGTATTTCATTACTATCAGCTCCTGGAAAGGTCTTTGCACGAGTTCTACTGAACCGCCTAACGGACCTATCAGAAAGGATCCTGCCTGAAACCCAGTTCGGCTTCCGACCTAACCGAGACCGAACCGCACTGATCACAGAGATCATGTATGCTGATGACCTGTGCTTCTTGGCAGAATCCCGAGACGGCCTGCAACAGCTGATGTCCGCTTTCCACCAAGCATGCTGCAAATTCGGCCTAAAGATCAGTGTCAAAAAGACGGAAGTGATGTCCCTAGACATCCATGGTCGTGAGACACTGACCATTACGCTTGGTGAGGACGTGCTGAAGCAGGTCGATAAATTTCGTTATCTGGGGAACACTATAACACCTAAGTGTGACCTTGATGCCGAGATCAACAGCAGAATAAGTGCTGCAGCTGCAGCATTTGGAAAGCTGTGTTCCAAGGTCTTCTGCTCGCACGACCTCAAGTTGGCTACTAAAATCTCGCTTTATATGGCGATCGTGCTGCCAAACCTTCTCTACTCTTCCGAGACCTGGTGTGTGTATCGTCACCATATACGCACTCTCGACCGATTCCACCTAAAATGCCTGCGCACCATCATGAAGATCAAATGGTCCGATCGGGTGCGCAATACCGAAGTTCTGAGACGCGCCAATGTTGGTGGCATTGAAGCATACTTGATGCGTCGACAACTCCGATGGTGCGGTCACATATCACGGATGGCGGAGGAGAGAGTGGCGAAACGAATCTTTTACTCTGAGCTAGAGGAGGGCAAGCGAAAGCACGGTGGACAACTCCTCAGATATAAGGATGTTCTGAAGCGTCACATGAAAAAATGCAACATAGAGCCCTCTCGCTGGGAGAGTTTGGCAGCACAGCGACCGGAATGGCGCGAGATTACGAAGAAGCGAATCCGCGAATTTGAGGAACAGCGTTTAGCTGAACTCGATGCCAAGCGCGATGATCTCAAAGCCCGTCCACTCGCCGCCATTCACTATAATTATGAGAGCGGCAAGCTCACCTGCCCAATCCGTGCAAGGGAGTTTGCTGCGAAAATCGGCTATATAAGCCATCTCCGGGCGCATCAGCGCCAGGTCCCATAAGGGATCGAAGTGGTCGCCATGGCTGAAATCGGTCGGATTACATCATCATCATCATCATTTTAGATTCTCATTCATTCGCAACAATCTCTGTTTTGTCAAATAGTAAGCAAATAAATTTAACAAAAACCAAAACCATACAAAATCTATGATATGCCTGTGCCGATCTACAACCGCCCGTTTCCAAGGGGTTGAGCCTTATGAGAAGAAAGGGCAAACAAACTCATGGCCAATCTTTTGCAATTCACAGATAGATACAATGGCACTATTAAATATACCACATTGTTTTGATGTGTGCCAGTATGTCCGTTATAAAGGAATAAAAGGTAAAAAGACATGAAGAGAAAACAAGATTAAGAAAAAAACACGAATAAAAGAGAAAATGAAGTGAAACATAAAAAATAGAAAAAAATAATAATAATAAAAAACACACTAGTCACATCACATTTTTACTTAAGAAAGAAATAGCCTGCGCTCGCTAATAAATTAATCCCTAGCGTTTTTGTCTTCCATGTAATCCACAATCGAGTAGTAGGCCCTCTGGCACGACACCGACAGGTGGTATCCGAGGGGATTTCCGCACGGAAAAAAAAAGGCCCTCTGGCACAAGCCACGTTTTATTGCGGATACTTAACTCTTGAATATTATTTGGGATTTTATTATAAAATCGGACACATTGACCTCGAAAAGACTTGTTTATCTTTTGGAGCCTAGAGGCGGGTACAACAAGTTTATTTATATTTTACAACAGAATTAGCACCCGTGTCGGGAAGTCTGTTATCATTACAGCTACTAAAAGCCGTTGTACGGTTAATTAATTATCAAAAATAATAGGTACTTACTATCTTTTGCCTTACTGGTGCCTGTTTTAACCAAGATTCCTAAAACTGGATTGGTCAATAACAAACTGGAAAAAAAAACAACCGAGTAGGTTATCACATTGGAAAGTTAAGCAATCCTTGCCAGGTTACTGTATAGATGGGTGACCATTAACATTGAAACCCCCCCATGCCTCGATGCCGATTGCTATACGAACATCTGTGGCAATCATTACGGGTAGTTGGTCACTTAACGGTAGGCGGCTAAAGTCGCTGCGATGTGGCCAAGTGCAAGTGGACTGGTCCTCCGATAATCTCACCGATTCGGTAAAAACCAATCAACGAATATCTTAACACATATTTCCTTTTAGACCAAATCACTCTATAATTATATAATTTGTGTCCGTGTGGTGACGGATTAAGAATACAGAGTGTCACCACACCTATTCATCACGTGGGTGTTGGGATAACAGCACTGCAAAAAGAAGGAAAACTTGAAACAAACCCTGTTACTGTTACAGCCCGGTCTGACCAGCGTGGTATAGGATTCCAAAAATTTCTTTTCTAAGGAGCCTATGTTCAGCAGTAGACTATTAAAGGTTGTTGATGATGAAAAATGAAAACAACTCGAGACATGTCACACGCGGAACACGTAACGCGGAAAGAAAAAGATTTTTGAAGTGAAAACTTCTTTAGGCGTTTTGGATATTTTTAAACAACAAACAAAAGAATGTATTTTTTTCAGATGGAAAAAACCATTGAACTCGCGACACTGTTACCGTTACCGACACCTCTGTATATAAGTATCTACATATATTGGCCCCGTTTAAATACATTGATAATCGGAATTAATCGAATTAAAAAAAAACAAAAAAATCATATTATAAAAAAAAAAAAATCTCTTCTGTTGGCACTCCCGGAGAGCCACCAATTTTTTTCTAAATTCATCAAGTTAAATTTGTGCATTCGTACCTGCTGTCTTTTATTAATTCACAATCCGTACAGCACACCGAAGGCGTTTTATCCGATGAACTAGAGCAGCGCTGAAATAGTAGAAGAAGAAAAATTAAATATATTTTGATATAGCACGAATAATAATAACTTGACACATTACACACGGCCGTCTGATCCCCAAACTAGGTAGAGCCTGTATTATGGTAACTAGACTATTGATAAGTATACCTATGTATTTCTAAATACATACATATTTTAGACAAATGATACCCAGATCCAGATCGAATGATCATGCTTATCACACAATTATTTATCCTGGGTGGGAATTGAACCCACGTTCTCTAGCTCAGCAGTCATGATCACCAACTATAACAAGCCAGTCCAGGTCTATAAAGGTTAAATGTCCCATAAATTAGTTGGTTAGTTTTACTCACTTGGAGCGCTGGTCTTTTCAGACTGTCATCCAGAGCAGACAGGCATTCACTAGAAGGAACACATTGACCCCTGATGCCTTCCCATATGCAGTCAGCAGCTGCAAATTAAACCAAACTAATCATTATGAAATGAGATCATTTTTTCTTTAATGTTTTACTTCATTTTCATTTCTATTCCATCTTTTTTCTTTATCTTATTTCTCTTCATTGCCTTCTTACCTGGTCTACAACTACTTGTTGTTTACAATAACAAAATGTCTAGTTGCAAAATGGAATCACAAGTTCAGTTTTAATGATTATGAAATAAAGATATTTTGAGTTTGAGTATGTACTTACGAACACATTTTGGCATCTGTTCAGACACTACTCCGTTGTAGCAGTGTATCTCCTTGTCCCTTGTTATTACACCATTTGCTTGCATTATATCATACCCTTCTGAACAAATTATTGTCAAGACGAAGCTTTCTAGTCGTTGCCCAGGTCTGGCATCCATTGGCATGACGGCATTCACTGGCATGACATTTTGGACTACGTATCTACCATTACCAGGATATGATGGCAATACACAGGAACCTGTCTCTTCAGACCTGGAATGATATTTTTAAGATATAGGTCACCTGTTCGTAAGTGCTCCACTACCGTACCGCTACCCATGGACATCTGCAACTTAGGAGTCATTGGAAGAGGGCGGAGGGGAAGGATTTTAGCAACCTCAACACCCGCACCAAGACTATATCCTGTGCGGCAGGGACTTTACCAACACTTTTCAAATGGACACAAATAACACCCAGACTCAGAACAACAATTTGTGGATCACATAAAGATTTGTACCATGTGGGGATCGACCCCACAACTTGAGTAGGAAGCGGCGAGGTGACCGCTTTTTTTAAATTTTAAATTTAACTTTATTTTGTAAATATTTAATTACATTCTTTGTCCCCAAAAACCGGGTTGTCTGGGGGATCAAGTCTCCATACATTGAGTATTATTTAAATAAATTGGTAAAGGTATATTTAACAATAACTTTTAATAATAAATTTAATAAATACTTTTAAGTTTCCTTTTAAATATGTACAGCTTTGTCTGTATCTTCCCTGATGTCCAACGGCAGACTATTAAGAAGATAAGGCACTCGTTTTTTAAAAATTCAGTCACCATAACAACTTAAACCTAAATAACTAAAACTTTTAAAATACTACGCCATTCTTTTTTCATTTTCATCTGCGCAGACAACTTATAGTAACCGATCATCATCAGGAACGTACTTTTTTTGCAACCACTATCAAAAATTTATATTAACTTTCTTAGATTTATTTAGCTCACTTTAGATGGTGCTGTACCTAAATTAAAATTCGGTGTTCAAACATTATTCGTTTTAACGTCTGTTACGTTCTTCCAACATATGGGGAGGATCGCCCGACCAGGCGAGGTGATCATGCCTGGCAGATCGCGGACCAACGGTAGATGTTGGGCAGTTGCATATTTACTAATTGGCGTGAGAGCTTTCATTGCGCAATACAGAATTAGTAGATACTCCGTAGTTCGTCGTGTATTTGTTAGATGGCACTGAAGTTTGTTTTTTGCTTAATTGTACGTGGAAGTCACAACAATTTGTTTCTGCTGAAGTACACACATACTTTTGTTGCATAATATCTGCAGCATTTAAAAAAATATTTACATGGACTGTCTAGAGGCTTGTTATGTGAAGAGAATTTGTGCCAAAACAAATAGTGTTCTGTGTTGATAGAAATAAGAATGATAATTAGTTGGTGTTATCTTACGGATTGGAAGAAACTACTACAGGTCTACACAATTCGTCCGACTCATCAGATCCATCAGCACAATCTTCTTTCTGTAAAAAATATTAACGAAATGTAATAAAAATAACTTTCACACGGCCGTCTGATCCCAAACTAGGCAGAGCCTGTATTATGGTAACGAGACCGTTGACCAACGCACTTATACATTTATGACAATAGATATCTGCCGTAATCTTTTGGCAAGATTTTAGAAACTGTAGTGAACGACATCGGCGCTAGTCCACCAAATACTCACAAGTAACTGTTTCTAAGTCAATTTTCGTTTAGGGCAGGATTTGGGTGGGTCTCCAGGGTTCAGCCATTGCGACGAGCGCTACCGATTATCGTACAGTATCCACTTTTCATCACAAGTATCATTACTTAAAATTTACATTACATTCGATTTAAAATCCCTTCATAATTGTGTCGGTTGAGCAAAGTAACACAGCAGTCGACGCGTGTTTCCAAGTTCGATTTACTCAATTGATTAGGTACCCATCGTTCAAGTTCTTTTTCTTTCTCGATTTGCTTCAAGTGGATTAATACAGTTTTATCACTTACCCCGAAGCCTGCAGCTATCTCTGAAGTGCTTTGTGATGGATGCGCTTCCACAATAGCCTTTAATTCTTCATTTTCCACTTTGGTCTCCGGCCGTCCATGGGGTTGGTTCTGAATATGTTCATTAATAGATAAACTACAGCCAAAAATAGAACAAATGATCGTGCTCATCACACAGTTATTATTCCTGGGTGGTAATCGAGCCCTGGGTGGTTAGTAACCCCGACAGCTTAGTCGGAAGTCGTGTCTCCTGCTTAGCAGTCAGGGTTATTAACCACTAGATCAACAGGCCAGTCAAATAGGCAGGTGTGAACCAAATAAAGTTCTGCTTACCCCATTACAATCAGCTCCCAGATCCACGCAAGTTCCATCATCACATTGAAACGAGTAAAAGGGACAACTCCGGCTGGCACTCTCGGCAAGCGCTCTTAAAAGGAAATGCATGTTTTAAACCCGTTCGTTTACAAAATTAATATAAATCCTTTGACACATCTCACGCACGGCAGTGTGATCCTAAACTAGGCGGAGCCTGTACTATGGCAACCAGACTGCTGATAAATGCGCTCAAATATTTCTAAATACATACATATTATAGATAAATTACACTTACTTGCGTACTCTGTACTCTGGGTGGGAATCGAACCCACGACCTCTAGCTTAGCAGTCAGGATCACTAACCACTAGAACAAAAGATTATTAAACAATAGATACTGAGATTTTTAATTTTTAAACCCAATATTGTAATTGGACTATGTTTGGGGACGGGCTTTAATGGCCTCAGGCCAACTATCTTGGAATTGTACATATACTAATCGATGCGAGAACTTCAATTGTGCGATGCAGGATTAGTTACTCCGCAGTTCGGTGTGTCGTAGTTAGATAGCTAGATGTTTCATCAAGTGCCTATGATAATGTTGAATAGTTGTTTTTTTTAATTTCGTTTTCGTTAATTTTTATAATTTAAACATATAAAATCATTATAGAAAAACCTAAATGTACTCATTGATCAAATCCTGGTGTTTCGTGATCTTTGTAAAGGTGGTATAAGCATTGTCATTGCACTTTTTGTCATCATTCCTCGGAGCTGCAGACACGATGCCTCTCAGGTAGAATCTATCGATGCCCAATTCTCGGTCAGCAAATGCCAGGCCACCTCCACTGTCGCCTTTACACAAAGCGGTACCTGTAACGATATTTTCTTAAGTGTTCTTCTTAAAAAAAGATAACTCCAGTACTAAGAATAATCCTGTGTCGCAAGGGACTTTGCAATCATTCATAAACGGAAACAAAGAACAACAATTTGTGGATCACATAAAGTGTTGTCTGTTATGGGTCGACGAGACGTCGGCGGCGATACCAGCTGTCGAAGGGGCCGCAGGCTGCTAGAGAGTGGGGACCTCTGGTGGCATATTAACTGCTGCGGTAAGCGATAGGATGGCGGCCTGGTCGCAAAAATGCGATCGGGTCGCAACATAACATATTAAAATGATTGGGCAAATAGGCGGGCTAAGGCGCGGCTTCCACGGAATAGAGCCTTACTATGCGAGGCGTCGATCCGGCACCTGAAATAACATGGTCCGGGTCCTTCTGAATGTAGGGCGCCTAAGGCAACACGGTGGTTTTTAGTGGAATCACCACATACTCCTGGCTCCTCCGTCCCTAAGGAGTTTTTCGTTGCTTTTCAGAGTGAATGAGGTTACCGTAGACCAAACCAATCCAACCCCCGATTCTAGGGGCAGGACTGAAAGGAAGGCAACGGACCTGTTGACTCTTGAGATGCAGGTGTCCATGGGGTGGCGGTACTTCGGTATCAGGTGACCCGTCTGCCCGTTAAAACTATAAAAAAGCAAAGGATCTTCTCCCTACACTTTCTTTTGTCTTCTTACCATTGGTATATCCTGCACAAAACTTATCTCCAGTTAAGTACTCTCTGAAAGACTGTGGCAGAGTTTTGATGCAGATGACCTCGGCGACAAAAGGCATGTCAACTACTTTAAGGGTTGGTGAAGCATTTCCGTTGGCTGCTGTCAGACCCCAGCCAGCAACCTGAAAGCGTACAATCAAGAGATAATCAATAGATTAGCGTATGACGGACATCAAAGCAAAAGCAAAGCAACGTTGGTGGTCAAGAGACCACATACGTCTGTTTGCTGTCCCACAGCTTGCCTGATTACTCCAGAAACACTGGACTGTTAGAAAAGGTATTTGAACTAGTGTTAGCAAAGTCTTGTAGTCTAGTTTACATTAAATATGACGACTGGCTAATTCATCAGCAATTCATCATAATAAATAAATAAATAAATAAATATCTATCAGCGCAGAGCCTAAGCCGCTGGGGCTTCAAACATGACATTTTGGCAATTGATGCTTTTTATATCATAAGCACCCACTAAGAAAAGATTTTTGGAAATTACACCCCTCAGGGGGTAAAAGAAAGAAATAATCACACGAGCGAAGCCACGAGCTAGAGCCAGTACTGTTGATAAAATTCAGATTTTTTTTATGCGAAGCCTACGAGAATCTTGGCAATACTGACAAAATTGTCTTGAAAACGTACCGATGAAGCTACAGATTTAAGAGCAGACTAGAAGCATGCTGTCTTAGTCGGCTCTTACGACAAACCTGGCATAAATAGGGGTGGTGACATTCTGTATTCTTAATCCGTCACCACACCGACATTAAGATATTTATCAAAAGCTAACCTTTCCCAAGTTGTCATGCTGCAGCTGCCACCTTTCGAAGTTAACGTCGAAATTAAGGCACACAGGTCTGATGTAGGTCTTGTAGATAAAAGGGGTGACCAAAATCAAAACAGCTATGTCTTCTTGGAAATTGGCCGACTCACCTTCAAATAAAGTCGGAATTTTTATATGTTTTACCTGAAAATATAATATAAAATATAAAATATTTTTTATCGTAAAATCTTCCTGTCTTCCTTTTTTTCTTTTTGTATGGACACCTCCCACAATACCGATTCGAGTCTATTCTGTGTCCCGGGGGACTTTACAGACATACATAAAACGAACAAAAAGAATACCCAGACTTGGAACACCAATTTGTGGATCACAGAAAGTGTTCTCCCACGTGTCAATCGAAACTACAACCCTCAGCGCAGTAGGAAGCGGCGAGGTGACCGCTTAAACCACTACGCCATCCGTGCAGTCATTACAAGTACAATATTAAAACAAATTATTATCTAAAAGAATATGAAGAATTAGAACAAAACTAATGTCATGTAATGTTAACTCTCTTGGCAAAATTATCAACGTTAGAGTTCGATCCCAATTCAATTATTCACGATGAAACAAACATTAATTGGTTCTGTGTCTGTGTGTAATGTATCCATGATATGTATGAATATACAAGAATGTTTATGAGCAGACAGGTTGCCATAGTACAGGCTCTATCTCATATTGGATGACCGTGTGTGAGATTTGTGAAGTTAACTGTATAGGTAGATATTTAGAGAAATCTCGTCATTGTACTGACTTTAAGTTAGAGAAGCTGAAGAGAACATATTATGTTATTAATACATAAATAGTAATACTTGAGGAAACCAGAATCAGCTCCTTACATCAGATTTCTGCACACCAACTTCCTCCTCACTGTCCCACGAACGGTAGAGTTTGCCAATTGCTACTTTGTAATCAGAGGCAGGGAGCACTTTCCTCACGTCACTCCAGAAACAGTGGGCAGCTGCAAAAATGTTAATAATCACGAAAAAATTAAGAGTAGTTACAATATATTGGTCGGACATTTAATAATTGTCAGTCTTCATATTAAGCCGGTCCGTGTGGTGATGGATTAAGAATACGTAATGTCACCACCCCTATTCATACCGTGGGTGACGTAAAAGTCGACTAAGGGAGAAAACTACGCAAGACCACACTGCAAAGAGAAGGAAAACTTGAAGCAAACCCTATGCCAACCCGTCTGGTCAACGTGGTAAAGTAGGCCAAAACCTCTATTCTGTGGAGAGGCCTATGTCCATAATAGTCCAGCAGTGGACTATTATAGACTGTTGATGTGATACTAAGCGACTGGTGATTAAAAGGGAAAACCAGCGCTAAAAGCACCAGTTAACCTTCCAGTTTCACAATTCATATATTTATTTTCACGTTAGCAATTTTATTTACAATTCACCCTGGTATTCTAAAACCCATAATACATCTGTACAAAAAATTAAAAACAAAGTGTCTGTTTGTAATGTCAAAATAATATAATAGGGTTTTTTATGCTCACACGGTTATTTGTACGATACCTATGCCTAAAAACCAGCTTAAATATTTTTTATTTATCTGTCGGTCTGTCTGTCTGCCTGTTCCGGGTAATCTTCAAAACGGCTAGACGGAATTAATAATATTTTACGACCAGGTAGTTGTCTATATAAGGAGTAACTTATGCTATTTTTGTTCTCAGAAAAACCATATAAAATTTTGCAAGGTCCAGCTAGTATACATGTATGGCTACATGCTAACTGTCAATTAAACCTCAACTTCTCCTCAACTGGCTCTAGTTTCAGAGTCCCAGAAATGTATTCTTTCTTTTTTTTAAAGAATAACTCCCGATTCATCCATTATTTCCTGTGCCGCGGGGAACTACAAACATACACGAAACGGACATAAACAACATCCCGTCTCAGAACAACAATTTGTAGATAACACAATGTGTCCCATGTGGGGATCGAACTTACAGCGCAGTAGGAAGCAGCGAGCTGACCGCTTAGTCGTTCGTCCTTTTATTCATTTTTTTTTTAAATGTCTACTAGCAACTGAACTTACCAGTATTCCCGTTAACCCCTCCCGCTAAGCTAAATTGCTTGTGTTAAAAGTGTGTTCACGTCGGTAGTGTACAGGTCAGGATTCGAACCCACGACCTCTTGATCGCAAGTCCAATGCCTTAACCACAAGGCCACACATCTATCTAAATATTCCTGACCAAGCATTCAGATTTAGGAAGGACAGTGGTTCTAATGACACCACTATATAATGCTGGTGACTATTTATTTATTATTTGGTGTTTACCTGATATAACCACATTATTGGAGATGAGGGATCCGCCACAGATCTGCTCAGGAGAATTCGATTTGTTCCTGTAAATACCAACATGCCATGGCAGTTCTCCTCGCTTTGCTTCTTTTCCGTCAATTATCAGCTGAAAACCTTCAGGTGTTACTCGACCACATTCTAAAGGGAAAGTAATTCATATTATAGCGGTTTTCTGAACAAAAAATCTATAAATTACATGTAATATTGGGCAAAAAATGCAAAAATAGGTGGCAATATTAGAAGTGGGAAAATTATTTGATGTGACATTGAAAAAGTAACTTGACACATCTCATACATACGACCCTCTTATTGTAAACTAGGCAAAGCCTGTACTATGATAGCGAGACTACAGGTTAAGGAAGGAAGACTGATCCCAAAATAGGCAGAGCCTGTACTATCGTAACCAGACGGCTGATAAACCTACTTGTGTATTTCTAAATAAATCAGATGTGTGTAATGTTATTTGTCAGATGTCCTGGGTGGGTATTGAACCTACGACCTTTAATTTAGCAGTCAGGATAGCTAGACACTAGACTTGGAAATTATTAGTACTTTTAAATCATATTCATTAGATGAAATTATTGATTTAAGTCACAGCGATTACACATGTGATTGTGATTTCTTCATAGACAAAGATAAAAGGCATTAAAATCAATCAAAATTCTTTTTATCAAAGATTACGACCCTATTTTTAGGATTTAGAACTTTCGCGAGTCTTGCTCTAGAGTAATAATAATAATTAAGTAGCAGTGGTTTTGGAAATCAGTCACAGGTATGATGTTTTTAAAATGTTTTGTAAATCATATGATATATCACATGTGATTGTGATTTCATGCCATCCCTACTAGACCAACGGGCCCTTCGCAATATGATAGCTGCTAGTGATAATACTGCATCTCAGTGATGGTTTCCAAATTTCTTTTGAGCCAGAAATTATGGCCACTTAGTTTTCACTAACCTACTTCACACTGAGCAACATAATTCCAAAATCCACTTGTACACTTCATATTCTGCAAACTTTTAGTGGAGTAGTAGATAGGAGTATTGCAGACAGGGCTGACCAACGTGCCTGGAGCCACGTAGTTGCCACAGACCCGGAGTCCCACTCCTGGCATGTGGCACATGTATCGAACACTGGGATCCGGATTAAGTCTGCAGAAACCTAAGATTTTAAAAGAAAAAAAATAAAACGATTATAAATAAACGAATGGTCGGCACTTATCCACCGTCTCTGCTCTAATTTTGGACGAGCTTTCTGATGTCTGGTTGGTCTTCTATGGCACGAGAGCGTACTTAACCTCCCCGCCGTCTTTGTTGCTGCTCTCATTACAACCTCACGAAACAAAAAGTTGAAATCCAAAACAATTTTGCTCATGACAAAATGACAGCAAGCAGCAAATATATATACAGGATGTAAGGGACGTCGTAACGAATACTGTAATAGTGTATTCAGACCATGATTCTGAGTCGAAAATCATTGGGATTTACTGTTAGATTTTATAGATATACTTAGATAGTCATGATCATCACACAGCTGTTTGTCCTGGCTAGGAAATCCACGACCTTACTCAGCAGTCAGAATCTATAACCAGTGGACTACAAGACCAACCAGCAGTCCAGTATAGGTTACAAATTAAACAATAACTAGTTTTTTATATCATAGGGGATTAACGAGCTGATGTGTAACTGAGGAGACACAAGGTTTCCGTTAACCTCATTCACTCGTAAAAAACAACAATACATTGATAGCACCGGTTTCCTGTGAGGTCGTATTATCAATCCGGTTGAGCTGTTCCATATATTCTGAAGCATGACTTTCCCACGGTAAATTATTTATGTATAAAATACTTACGAACACATTGTGGCATGTTCTGATCCCATACTCCATTGACGCAGAAGGCTTTACCACTGCTTCCAGTAGATCCATCCCTATTGACTACTCCATACCCTCGTCTACAACGCACAGTCAGTAAGAAACTGTCTAGTCTCTGTCCAGGGCGGGCATTCAAATTATTTGAAACTTCATATATTCCATAGCTAGGATATGCGGGTAGAATACAGGCGTTTGCACGTTTGAATCTGAAATCAGATAGTTAATATTTTTATGATACAGAAGGCAAATGAGCAGAAGAGCACCTGATGGAAAGTGACTACCGCCGCCTATGAACGCCTGCAACTCAAGAGTCACAAGCACGTTGCCGATCTTTAAGGAAGGAGTACACACTTTTCGAAGAGGGTGAGTCCACTCTTTGAAGGTCGTTAACATACAATAAATCTGTGGAACGAATTGTGATATCTAGAAATGTCGCATGTGACAATTTGTTCCAAAGGATATTAAGTTCTCTTACACTGACCGGTACAATCAGTTCTGTGTTTGATTGGACAGCAAACGGATCGAAACCGCTACTTCTGACTTTGCAGAAGTTGGAAAATCTATCAATGTAGATTGCCTATCTCTTGAGGTTATTTTAAGCACCTGATTGCAGTGGAAGTCGAGAAATTTGATTTTTCATTACAACTTAGCCGTGTGGTGACGGATTAAGAATACGTAGTGTCACCACCCTTATTCATCCCGTGGGTGTCGTTAGAGCCTACTAAGAGAGCAAACTACGTAGGACAACAGCAACGCAAAGAAAAGGAAAACATGAAACAAACCTTATACCCCGTTTGGCCAACGCGGTATAGTAGGGTTAAACCTCCATTCTAAGAAGACCCTTAGCAGTAGACTATTAATGGCTATTCATAATTATGATCATAACGACTTACCTAAAGTATTTGCAGAAATCCTCATCGCTTGCATCCGGACAGTGCTGAACTCCATCACACACGTGTTTTAAGTCGATACAAGTCCCATTCTGGCATTTGAACTCGTTAAATTTATTAACTGCGTGATCAGAACTGAAAGTGAAGCAATAATGTAAATTTAAAACTTTAAAAACAACTCAAAAACGAGATTTAAACTTGTGACTGCATCTGACTAGAATACGCACGGGTAGTGGCAGTCGGCCCCCGCCCGAAGACATACGCGAGTGGCGTGAGGCCGCTCGCCGAGCCACGATGACTCGTTGGTCGTCCCGGCTGGAGGTTCCAAGTGCTGGCTTTGCCTCCGTGGAGGCGCTCCAGCCGGTTATCGTCAAATGGCCAGGGCGGCAGCATGGGACCCTTTCCTTCCGACTGACGCAGGTCCTTTCCGGGCACGGCTGCTTCGGGAAGTACCTGCACTCGGTCGCTAGGAGGGAATTGAGTCCAGCCTGCCACCACTGCGATTGCAGTGAGGACTCGGCCCAGCACACGCTAGCAATTTGCCCGGCTTGGGCGTCGCAGCGCCGGGTCCTCATTGCAGTCATCGGAGGGGACCTCTCGCTACCGGCCGTCATACGCTCCATGGCCGGTAGTGACAGATGTTTTACCGCGGTCGCATCCTTCTCTGAAGATGTCAACTCGCAGAAGGAGGCGGCGGAGAGGGCCCGGGAGGATGACCTCCACTCGGAACGCGCGCTCCTCCGCGCGCCTCCGCCGCCGGCGAACCGGGCGGCGGAGGCGCGCTTACCAGCGCCTCATGCCGCCCTGAGTGTGGCTGCGTGTGGACGGGACGGGTTTTCCCCTCCACCCGCCATAATGGCCAGCCGCGAGGTGGTGACGTCCGCGTGTCCGGACGTCACCTAAATAGAGAAACCCCGCCGCAAACCCCGGTGGGGTGACGGCACGAGGGGGTTTCCACACGTAAAAAAAGGGTGTGTTTTAAGTTTTCCTTCTCTTTGCAGTGCTGTTATCCTACATAGTTTACTCCCTTAGTCAGCTCTTACGACACCCACGGGTTGAATAGGGGTGGTGACACTCTGTATTCTTATTGAGCTCTAACTTTTACAAAATATAGGATCTGCTTCAAAGATTGTTTTTTTCTCTTTTTCGCATCGATTTTGTTCCTCATGCCTCACGAATACAATTTTGATGTACCATCGCGAAGCGTGGCTGAGTAAAACTAGTATATATATGTATATATAAAAATGTTAAGTTGGATTGTGTAAGCTTCAAAAACTCAAAAAGCTCTTCACCGATTTAGCTTAAATTTTGACACGATATACAACATGTTTCAAAGATTGTGTTTATCTATTTCTCGCGGCAGGTTTGTTCTTATTTGTCATCAATGCAACCGCAATGTGCCGCAGCAAAGCGTGGCGGGATACAGCAGATGTGTGTGTGCGGGTGTGTGTACAATTCACACAGGATAGAAATGAACATTCCATTTTTTTGTTTTTATCTCAGAACAACCCTATAAAATTTTGCCCGGCCCGGGAAACGAATCCACTAAGGCAGCGGTTTTCAAATTCCATGCGAACGAAGTCGTGGGTACCAGCCAGTATTAAATAAAAAGATAAAAGTATTTACACTGTCATAATATTATATTAAAAATAATGTGTAATGTATTCTATCTCAATCTCTCGCCGACTTAATCCCATACATTTGTGTTTGTTTCTTTATCGTGACGCATTTTCGATGAAACGAAAGTACGTCACGATAAAGAGTTTCAAATCACAACGATTCTAAGGAAGTTTCAATCCATTGCACTAATGGCGTAGTGGTTTAAGCTGTCGCCACGCCGCTTCCTATTGATCAAGTGTTGTGGGTTCAAACCCCACATGGGACAACACTTTGTGTGATCCACAAATTGTTGTTCTGAGTCTGGGTGTACTTTGTGTCCGTTTCATGTATGTTTGTAAAGTCCCCCGCGACACAGGATTTATTCCTAGTGCGGGAGTTGCCTTTTTAAAAAATAAATAAATAAAATTTTGTAGAGCAAATTAAATTACCTGCATGGGAAGAGTCCGTTTTCTGCTATATTTGCTATCACTGGTATTACTGAAACAATTATTTTTAATATTAAAATATACCTCCTAGCTTATGTTGACTATCTCGGTAAAAAGTAGCCTAAGTTACTCGCTGATAATCTAGCTTAGTGAAAGAATTGTTAAAATCGGGTTAGTGGTTTAGGCGTGAAAGCGTAACAAACAAACTCACTTCCACATTTACAATGTCATTATCATCATCAACAGATTTAATAGTCCACTGCTGGACATAGCCCTCTCCTTAGAAAGGAGTTTTTGGCCTACTATACCACGCTGGCCAGACGGGTTGGTATAGGGTTTGTGTCAAGTTTTCCTTCTCTTTGCAGTGCTGTTGTCTTGCGTAGCTTGCTCTCTTAGTCGGCTCTTACGACACCCACGGAACGAATAGGGGTGGTGACACTCCTTATTCTACAATATAAGAATGAATATTTATTTTTAGATACAAACTTTATGCACTTCCAGTACACGAGAGGACATTGGCTTAAGCATTCTCTGGCTGAATGTTGTGAAGAGAACACATGAAATAAGTGCATTACAATAATATATACTTACATACATACATAAGAATACTCACGCCTCTAATGCTCCAAGGCGTAAACAGAGGTGAATCAATCGCTGACTGTAATTTTAATCCTACTTACGTCATAGGTGCGAGCCTATTATATATATCTAATAATAATAATAATAACTTCACACACTCACACACGGCCGTCTAATCCCAAACTAGGCAGAGCCTGTGCTATGGTAACCAGACTGCTGATATACATACTTATATATTTTTAAATACATACATATTATAGATAAATTACACCCAGACACTATAGGCTATAATAGTACATAGGTAGACGACTCAGGTCCCGGAGGTCGCAGAATGACCTCCGTCCTCCATAAGCACAGGCCTGAGGGTGGTAGGTGAGACCATCTGTCACCCTAGCAGAAGCAGGTCGGGGTGGTGGCGAGACGCGCTTCGAAGCGCGCGGGAGCACAAAGGGGACATAGGGGTTCCCACACAGTAGGGGGTCATTTACGCGCCGTAGATGGCCCGAGGTACGTCGGGGTATCAGGGTTTTCCTTCCTAGGGTCCCAGGTAACTGGTACCCGAGACGGCGTGCGGTTTTTGGTCGGTTCGAGTCCGACATAACCACCGGTGGGTGGTATCCGAGGTTAGGGTTGAAAAAAAGGCTAAAGTACATAGGTTACGTTTAAGAATAAACTAAAGACAAGTTCTACAAAGAGAATAAATTTGCCCTGTTTTTGCAACATTTTTAGTGATGCTCGGCCCCTATTGGTTGTTGCGTGATGTTATATAACCTTCCTCCATAAATGGGCTATCACACAGTAAAATAATCTCTTCTTTTCTTTCAATTCGCACCAGTAGTTCCTGAGATTAGCACGTTCAAACAAACACACTTCAGTTTTATAACGTTCCAATAGATATTGTTGTCTCGATCATTTACCGCTAAACCGGTATTAACATATTTTCCTTATTTTTTACCTCAAACTTTAAGATTCAACTTTACCAATTACATATGCATTTTCTACATAAATAAATCTCGATACCTATCACTTAATATATGTTGAATCTGTCTATGGTATGTCTATTCAATGGTATAGGGGCAAAGAGACGAACGGATCACTTGAAGGTAAGTGACTACCACCACCTACGAACATCTTGCAATTAAATAGACACAAGTGCATTACATCTCTTTGAGTTAACCCCCTCCCCCCAGAAATAGGGAAAGGGTGGGGAGGTGCCGGTATACGTACTTAAAATTTATAAACCTGTGATTTTAATTTTTATAATTTGCATAATACCCAGTGTCATTCTCACAATTAAAACGAATCTTACGACTAAACGGTAAAATCCATCGATCCGTTTAGACTATAGAGTGTATCAAAGAAGTAAACACACATAAATATACTCAATAAACAAAAGATAGTGACATTGAGATATACCTAAGGTTAACAAAGTATACATTAACAGATTATACTCGTATTCACGTGGGAAAACAAAAATGTTAAAAACAAGGCTGTTCAACATTACATAGTAGTCTTATTCTAAACAAAAAAAACAAACTCACCGATATTTACAAGAAATAAACACAGTAACATTGTCTATACACCTATATTATATGAATAAATACTTAATTTCATCACTTCTACAGATATTTTAACTAAATACATTAGTGTAATACAAAAAATACGTCAGTTTACTTGCAAATTCTTTTTAAACTACGTATGTTTGAGGTCATTGTATAAAACTGGTTCTGTCAAAGATGTCTTCCAGTTATATAATTATTTTACCAGTTTTGGTTGTTTAGATTGCTTGATTTGATTTCCGAGGTTAAGAGATACATCTCGGTTTAAAGAATTTATTTCTCATACAAACATACAGTCCATTTATAATGAGATACAAAGTTAAAAGTAATAATACAATGCAATTTAGCTCTAGAGTATTAGAAGTTACATGTACATACATATTTCTTAAGCTTATTTTTAAATGTGTTCACGTTTTCGCATTCTTTTATAACGGCCGGCAATCTATTGAACAGCTGTGCTCCCTCAAACAATATGGTTTTTTTACCGTAATTAGTGCGTGTGCTGATAAGTTCGAGTTTGTTCTTATTTCTCAAGTTATGTGACATTGTTTTGTTCTTTAGTTTTAAATTAGTTTGGATTGAGTTAGTGGTGATGTTTTTGATAAGAATACAAGTATAGTAAATATACAGCTGCCTAATATTTAATAGTTTTGTTTTTTCGTATAGGGTTTTTGTTGGAGTGAGGTGATGATAACGGAATAGAATTTTGATTACTTTATTTTGGGCTCTCTGAAGTGAGTTTAAATTAGTTACCGCTGCTGTACCCCATATCTCAATCAAATATTCTAAATGTGATTTGACTAGCGAGTTATAAATTAGTGTACGTACTTTGCTTGGAATACAGTTTGTCACCTTCCGTAATGCTCCCAATAATGATGTTAGTTTGTTTCTGAGGTGGTCAATGTGTAATTTCCAAGTTAGTTTTTCGTCTACCCGTAATCCAAGATATTTTTCGTTAGTTGACCGTTTTATTATTTCGTTATTTATTTTAAGAGGCGCGAAGTCCGGTATATGTTTATTTTTAGTGGTGAATATCATGAATGAGGTTTTTGATGTGTTAATTGTTAGAAGGTTGTATTTTAACCACTCGTTTAATAGATCGAGGTCATGTTGAGCGTCCCTTATGATGTTATGAATTGACTTATCGAAATAAAAGAGAACAGTGTCGTCTGCATACATTTGTAGGTGTCCTGTTAATCCGATTTTATTAATATTGTTAACATAAATTAAAAAAAGTAACGGACTTATGATGGAACCCTGAGGGCAGCCGTAATACATGTTTTGGACGGAGCTACAGTAAGAATCTCCTATTTTAACAATTTGACGTCTATTTTCCATATACGATCTGAACATTTTATGCGCTGTTCCTCTAATGCCTATGTTGTCTAGCTTTTCTAGCAGTTTTTGGTGACTCACGGTGTCGAATGCCTTTTTTAGGTCGATAAATATTCCTAAAGCATAGCCCCCTTGGTCTATATAGGTTTTAATTTTGGTAACTAGATCCGTCGCGGCTGTGAGGGTACTTGATTTAAGGCGAAAGCCATATTGTTCATCTATTAGGAATTTTTTGTCTGTTAAGTAGTTGATTAGGCGCCTGTATAGTACACGTTCGAATATCTTGGACATTACGGGTAGAACCGACACTGGTCTATAGTTGCTTGGGTCAGTTCTACTTCCAGATTTGTAAATAGGACTGACCCTAGCCACCTTGAGCGTATCAGGGAAGATACCATGCAGTAAGCAGTCATTTATACAGTTTGTTAGTGGCTCGACAATTATAGTTTTTAGACATTTCATTGCCTTAGTACTGATCCCATCTAGTCCAGTGCTCGTGTTACTATCGAGGTCGTTAATGATGTTTATTATTTCCTCCGTAGTACTGGGTGCAAGTGCGTGTAGTGTTATATCATGTGTGTAGTCGTGATTATACATTAGTGTGTTACCTGTGTTTGAGTGATATGTGTCAGGTATTCTTTTTGCTAAGTCTTCTCCTATAGATGTGAAAAAAGAGTTAAACAAGTCGCAAATTGAGTTACCTTCCGTTAGTAGTCCTGAGTTTGACATCAGTTTGGGAGGAGCAACACTGTCTTTAAATTTATTTAAACCTAGGTTATTAATCAGGTCCCACATTTTTTTTGGTCGATTGCTGCAGTTACGAAATAGATTGTAGTAATAGGTCTTCTTATGTGTGTTTGTTAATATCTTTACTTTCTGTTTTTCTTTTTGAAATTTCTTTCTTATATCGTCGTTCTCTGGGTCCAACTTAGTTTGTTGCCATAAATTGTTTCGTACATTGATTGAGTTTATAATATCCTGATTAATCCAATCTTTTTGGGGTGGGTTTAGAAATTTAATCTTAACTATTTTGTTCTTTTCTATTTGTTGTGATATAAATGTCTCAAGGTGGTAGTAATCGTGGCCATCACTGTTGTATTTTGCTTCTAGAGTATTGTTGTACAATTTCTCATAGTCCAGTGCCTTATACTGTTTTTTTTTGTTAAGTCGAGGTTCCAGTCGTCCCACTTGGAGATAGATTTGCTTATGATCAGATAGACTTGATTCGATTATCGAGAGGCTAAGACAATGGTTGTTTATGTTAGTACAAACATGGTCCAATATTGTCCTTGTCGTGGCCGTATCGCGTGTGCTGTATGCCTTGTCGATTTTGTTTAGAATTCTGTAGCCGGCTTCTTGAATTTCACATTGGTATTTTAGACCGCTACTGTTTGCTCTAAGTAAGTCTATATTGAAATCTCCAAAGACCACTGATCTTCTTCGACGCTCCAATTGGGACGAATATATTTCCAAAAAATTATTTATGTTGGTGCCTCCGGGTTTATAAATCGCTCCAATATTTAGTGATAGTTTGTTTATGTATAGCCATAAATAGTGGTTCCCGTTCTCACATAATTCTTCTGTTATGTTATATTTAATACTATCGTGCACATAAAATGAGACACCTCCGCCTTTACAGTCCTGCCTATAATTGTAGATATGATTATAATTCGGCAGTTGATAAAGTTTCGCATCGGTTTCTGAGTTAATCCAGGTCTCAGTAAAAATCAACAGATGAGTAGTCATTTTAATAGCTTTTAGAATGCGTTTTATTTCGTCGAACTTACCAGCCCTGCGAATACTGCGTAGATTAGCGTAAAAAAATCTGAGAGAAGACGGATGCAATGAAATGTCCTCGTATATATTAACTACTTCATGACACAGTCTGCTAGCATTATCCATCGGTTTGGCATTTTGTAATGGGGTGCTTACTGGTTTTTTTGGGTTACGACAACTATTGTAGGTGTTCCTTTCACATATTTAATAGTTAGATTTTTTTCGCCATCCTGTGTACGCTTATTTAGCTCTTCCTTCAGAGATTCTAGGTATTGCTTTTGTTTTGGGGTTTGATCAGAAAAAATCTGTATGTTTTCAGGTAATTTTGTTTTATTTTTTAACAAGTATTTTGCAGTCTTTGCATTTTCGAAATGAATTTTTATGGGTCGGTTCTTATTTTGCACATATTTTCCTAGTCTTCTACACGTAATCGCCTTAGGACAGTCCTCAGTAAGCATGGTTATTACTTTCAAAACTTCCTGATTTTCGTGCTGTTGTCTCAAATTCCAATTTTTATTATTTATTTCCGATATACCCACTATCACAATATTCTTCTCGCGATCGTATCGGTCCTTGAGTTCTAGGATGAGATTCTCGTGACACTCGACTGGCGATTTCAGAGTCGAACATTTTGTATTTTGTTGATTTTTAATCTGAGATATTTCGGTTTCTATATGTTTTATTTTGACCTCCGTAGCGGTTGTTTTGGTTTTGATATTTTCGATATCCGTATTCGCACGTTCGAGCTGTTCTGCAAATTTTTCTGAAGATATTTTTATGGTCTTTATTTCGTTCTTTAAATCCAATATTTGTTCTTTAATTTGGTTCAGGTTTTCGGTTTGTGTCTTGCCAAAATTGTTTAGGAAGTTCATCATTTCCGCGCGGAAGTCCATGAAGTCTTTTTTATAATCATTTTCTTCCGTACGCTGTTTCCGCTTTCTTGAATTAGTGTTAGCGTATAAGTCCTCATTAATATTAAGAGATACATATATATACATACATATACATAATATATATTATATATTTCATATATAATATATATTATGTATATATAATATATATATATATATATATATATATATATATATGAAAGATAAAGGATTTACAGTGATTAGTTTTATTTTACGCTACGCAATGTACAGGTACTTTTTTTTTTTTTTTTTTTTTTTTCCGTGCGGAAATCCCCTCGGATATGTGTGGCATGTCGGACTCGAACCGACTAAAACCGCACGCCTTCGCCGGGTACTAATAGCCGGGGAACCAGGTATACCCTAGAAAGGAAGGCCCTGGTGCCCCGACATACCTCGGGTCATCTACAGACGAGTAGACGACCCCCGCCCCGTGTGGGAACCCCATGTTCCCTGTGCTCCCTGGAAGCGAGCGCGCTTCGCAACGCGCTCGCCGCCACCCCGGCCTGCTTCTGCTAGGGTGACAGATGGCCTCACCTGTCACCCCCAGGCCTGCGCTTATGGAGGACGGAGGTCGTTCTGCGACCTCCGGCGCCTGAGTCGCCTGCGCTGCCTGGCCCGTGCCCGGGCCTGGCGGGCCGGGAGAGTTCTAAACCTCTCCCGGTCCCGCTCCGCCGTCTCCTTCGCGAGCATAACTTGCTCGCAGAAGGAGACGGCAGAGTTCCACGCACTCTCGCTCCGCACGATAGCCGCAATCAGGCTATCGACCGTGAGAACTTCCACTCCGATGGCTGCCACGAGGTCTCGCCTCTGCTCAACCCACGCCGGGCACTCTGCCAGCGTGTGGAGAGCCGTGTCCACGGTCTGGCCATCGCAGTGGTGGCACTCAGGCGTTGGCTCCTTGCGGATCAGACACAGGTGATTTCCGAAACATCCCTTCCCAGTGATCACCTGCGTCAATCGGTATGAGAGGGTCCCGTGACGCCTCTCGAGCCAATCCTCCATAACGGGTCTTACCGCCGCAATGACGGCGGGCCCAAATGTACAGGTACTAACGTAATCTATCGCTGCAGTATATATACAAGAATTGCTCGTATAAAGGTATTAGATTACATTTTAAACATACTACTTGATTAAATCGTTTTTTAGGAAATACATATATTTTTGTATATGAATACACTTGTATAGTTAATTATATTATTTATGACAGCAATTACAAGTCAAACGTAAATTTGATTATTTCTCTGCAGGTAACCAATATTAACTAGTAAAACTCTCTTGTTGAAAAATAAATGTTGATATAGTATAAACACGAAAAGTATACCCTCCCAATACTTCATTACCAGCCTTTAGGAGCCACTGCTGGACATTGCCTTTCCTTGGAAAGGAGGTTTTAGCTTACTATACCACGCTTTCCAGACGGGTTGGCATAGGGTTTATGTCAAGTTTTCCGTATCTTGTTAAAGCCAGTTTCAGCCAGTTTAGATGTCAGAACGGTACAATACTACTAGAATAATAGACTATACAACTATAGGCATGGAATACTTGTGTGACGGAATCCGCCATTGTCCAGACTCTAGTGACGAGACTTTCTGTCCGTTAGCAATTAAGAGGTAGGTTACTCTAGTGTTTTTTTTATTAATTTAAAATAATGTTCAGGGAATGCCTACACAGCAACAATAAAACGCAGATTTTACTGTGAGTTGTAAAATATAGTTTCACGCAGACCGTGGGAGGCGGTAATGCCATATTACACCATACCATAATAATCTTTGGGGTTCGAACTTGCTGATACTCTAGATCAATTCCGAGAACATAACAATTACACTACAATCCGGGAGCTGATAACGTTCCAAAAATAGTTTTAAACGTTTAGAATAACATCCCTTAACTCAAATTTAATTTATTATGGTACCCTGAAATCAGATAAAAGTATAATTTTAATTCAGATAAAATAAGCTAATTATTAAAAAAAACAAAACACCCGAGTGCGTGAAAAAATCCATCGAGCCGTTCAGGCTAGAGAGCGTGCAAAAACATTTGAATTTGGCGCCAAAAATCCGCCATTTTTTTAATTTTGATATACTTAGTGTCACTCTCACAGTAAATACGAATCCACTTTATTACATACATAACATTCAACAGATTTACAAAACAATACTAAATTAAGACTACACCTTTTTTACTTGTATTTTCATGTTTTATGGGGACAAACGAGCAAACGTGTCACTGCACTTGCCATCAGTGACTGCTGCCACCTATGGACATTTGCAACTCAAGAGAAACAACTGTGCTACTGCCCTTTAAGTGACCTCTTCCCTTCATGGTTAGGGTGGGGAAGGTCACCAGGGACTTCCTTTCTAGGGTATACCTGGTTCCCCGGCTATTAGTACCCGAGACGGCGTGCGGTTTTAGTCGGTTCAAGTCCGACATGCCACCGACAGGTGGTATCCGAGGGGATTTCCTAACTTTGATTTTCTATGAGACCTATTACTTGAGCTGGTCCATACTTATGTGCAGAAGCATGACTCTTTTATGCTTGAATTTATTTCTGCCATATTTTTAGGTTTCTGCAAACTGGATCCTGAACCTAGTGTCCTCTACATGCGCCACGTGCCAGGAATAGGGCTCATCGTCTGCTGCAACTATGTGGCTAAAGCCACGCTAGTCAGTCCTATCTGCAACACTCCTTCCTACTACTCCTCCGAAAGTCTCCCAAAAATGAAGTGTGCAATTGGTTTCTTGAATTACGTGGCTAAATGCAAAGCAGGTATGGTTGAAATAACTTATCATAGACTTCAATGCGCGTACATTATGATGTATTGCGATAAACTTCATTCCTTAATTTTGCACCCTCAGAAGTGGGATTTTAGAAAAGTTTTATTATCATCATCATCATCTACAGTCTTTAGTAGACCACTGCTGGTCATAGGCCTCTCCTTAGAAACGAGATTTTGTTGTCCTGCGTAGTTTGCTCCTTGAGTCGGCTTTTACGAAATTCACGGTATAAATAGTGGTGGTGGTTCTCCGTATTCTTGATCCGTCCCTACACGAATAGTATTATAATAATCGTGAATTTCAAATTCCTCCGTCGTCCGGGCCTTTTCGTGGTTGGGGTCCGCTTTCTTTATAACACGGCTAAACTTTGATATTTTACGTGAAGTGCCATGAGACCTCCACAACCGAAGTACTCGGCGATATTGTTCTATATTATAATTTCTATACTATATTTTTGGACTTCTTAGAGCTCCGACTACCCCATTGTCACAGATATTCGTAGTGCAACCGGGACAGACGGCTTAACGTGCTCTCTGAGAATTTCAAATTTTATTAAACTAATCTCTGTTTTTTTGTCTAAACTTGACACTATTTTCGCCTTTCATACGAAATATTGATTCTGTCTTTGGTACTGATTTTAGAACTGTATTTAAGAACACGTGCAATTCATACAATATTAATATTCTAGGGGTTATGACACAGTGCAATTGAGGCCCAAATTAAGAATAGGCATAATGTGTATTATGTAGATTATGAAAGTATACGTACATACACACATTATTGTCGCAAATATCTAGAAATGTATTAATATTTAGATAAAGAACAATATAAATAGAGGCATAATAGAGGTACTCAGGCACACAATATCCATACTTATATTATAAGCGTTAAAGTTAGTTTGTTTGTTTGTAACGTCACCCCTATACCATTAAACCGATTCTGAAAATTTTTTTCACTAATGGAAAGCTACATTATCAGCGAGTAAGATGGACTACTTTTTATCGCGATAACTTACATACACGCTGGGGGAGCCGAGGGCAAAAGGTAATTTATAATATTGCACTCGATGGGAATGAAACTCGTGATCAATACTTTGAAATGGCAGTCAAAAACATAACCGTCGATTCATAGTGATCGCCAACAGAATTTTTTGTAGTAAAACTTCTTTACGCACGCTTGACTTGGGGAGTAAGCTGGTGAATGCGTGTCGAGAGCGTTACAAAAGTGCGAAGATGGAAAGAGAGAGAGTTACGTTTCGTATATTACTGTAGGGACAAGAGAGAGAGAGAGAGAGAGGTGCGAGTACACATTTTCTTTCTCCCTTTCTCTCATAGCCAAGAAGTTTTACTTCAGTCGTGTGGTCTAAAGTACACTCGTTTTTATTAATGCCGATTCTCTTCAGAATGTGGTCAGGTAGCGTCGGCAGGTCGCTATTTACAGAAAAGAAATAGACACTTTTGAGCAGATCTGTGGCGGATCCCTCGTCTCCAACAATGTGCTTATATCATGTAACAGAATTTCAGTAGCATCTTTAGTAATACTTGTATTGTAATACTTGAACCAAATCATTCTATCGTGGGAGAGCCATGTTTTACACACATTTCATCATCATCATAGGCCTATGGCAGTCCACTGCTAGATATAGGCCTCTCCCATTGCACGCCACTCAGATAGATTAAAGCGGCTCAAACTGAGTATTAAAACGGACTCACAGAAAACCTGAGTTAAACAATTCTTCTTTTGTTACTTTTCACTGACTGAGTCACAATTCCACTAGACAAATTGGCACTGGCCAATTAGTAATGGTTAATGGTTAGTGATCCTACTTGTGGAAATAACGGAATAAACATACGCATTTCTTTAACATACCTTTCCAATGTAGCAACTATGATATATTCGACTAGTTCGTAATACACGGCAAGATTTGAAAACATAGACAATTTTATTTATTAAACTATATTTTATTATGTGTAGTAATAATTTAATTTATAAACTAGCTGCTCAGTTTCATAATAAATGAATAAAAAACAGGCAGACCTAAAATTATCTGCTTTCTATTTTATTTATTTTTGTTTTATTAAATTTACTTTGACCATTAATCTATTATTGCGGTGATTAGATATATAACTTTAAATTAAATTGAAAAGAAACTAGACGATTTGCAATATTTGTTAACCTGTTTTATAAAAATGAAGTTTTAATTTGATTTGGAATTATATTTTGTATCTTTTTTTAGCTTCCCATTTTTCTGGAGTGACGTGCATAAATTGTTACCGGCATCAGACTATAAAGTCGCCATAGGCAAACTCTATCGTCTGTGGGACAGCAAAATGGACGTTGGTGTGCAGAAATCTGACGTAAGACACTGAGCATAACTTTTAATATTAAAATTATGTAAAAAAAATGGTGCAGTGGACAAGTACAAACTTAAAAAAGCAAATTTAGATAAACTCGTGGCCCATTTGTGGTTCACGCACGTGTGATGATGTCTTCATAGTGACCCACATGTGGTACATGCACTGTTCACGTTTTAATATAACTTGTTGCCTGTTACCTGTACGATAAAATAGAAAATCACGGAGCGAAGATGAATGCTAAGAATCCAACTTTTAATTAAAGTCGGTTTGATGTTAGTGAAATTTTTACTACACCACCCTGAGTACTGGAATACGAAAAATAATATTTTATGTCACAGATAAAACAAATAAAAATTCCAAGTCTCTCCATAGGGGAGAGTACGAACTTTCAAGAAGATTAGTTTATCTATCAAAGTTTTTTATGTTAACTGCACTGAACAT